GGCCGTCACACGCCATCAGTTCACCATGTACCCCATCCTTCGAACCCGAGTCCACCGCATCTCCCTGAGCCAGCGCACAGAATGCGCCGTCCTCTTTGGACCCATGCACGTCAGCCAATACAGAACCCGGGTCTGAAAACGAGCAGTCCTCCTCTAGAGCCAAGCCTGGATCGCTCACAGGCAGACAAGTCCTGGACTCCTCATACTGGACGCAGCCCACAGTTGCATTTCCGTTCCTCCCCGTGGACTTTGTGGTACCGTCGTAGCTGATCAGCACGACGTCCTGGTGTTCCTTCAGCCCAAGGTGCTCCTTCAGGCTGAAGGAGTCCTCCCTCTGGCTGTGACCCTCAGAAGGCGCAGCCAGAGTCAGGACCCCGTTCTCAATCGTCACTACTATACTTTGGTTGTTAATGGTTATAGTGCCCGAAAACGCGTCGTCCGACTGCGTAACGTTCGCACTCCCAGTGGCGATGCAGCCACCCGAAAGATAAGCTGAGCCCGCGTCGCTGAGCGGCAAGGCCTCGACGAAGGGGGCGCTGTCGCCGGGCGCGGACCGCCCAGGTACCCCAGTATGGATTCGCTCGATCGCGTCCGCATCCCCCTCGGAACCGTCCCGCTCCGCACTGCACCTACTCGCCATCGCTCCGCCGTCTCCGTCATCGTCTCCTTCCCCAGTTCCGGGCTCCGGCCCCCGCCGCGGTGGTGTCACCCCGGCATCGCATCTCCCCAAGGGACGTGAGCGCGGCGAAGCGCCGGCCGGGCGGGACTTCCTGGCGTTTCTGGGTGACAGGTGTCCGGAGCTGTCACCCGGCCGGGACCGCCCGGAAACGTACGGCACCTCGACAGCGGCGCTCCGTACAGCGCCGGGGGAGTCCGCCTCCTTGCTCGCCGCTCCCTCGCCTCCCCGGGCGACGTTGAAAACCACGTAAAGCTCTTCCTCGGCCCCGCCGTCGACGCGCGCACTGCAGCCCGTGACGGCCCTCGGACCTGTGGCCGACTCCTCCAACCCGGGGTTGCTGTCCGGCTGACACCGAGGCCGCTGCTGGCTCCCCTGCTGCAAGTCGATGGGGATCGCCATTTGCAAATCGCCGTCTCCATGCTCCAGCCCGCATCTCCTCCCGGTATCCGGGCAGCCCCGACGCGGCCTATGCCTCCCGGCCCCCTTCCCCCTTAGGCCAACCAGGAGGCCGAGCCCGGCGTCTACGCATCGCACCCCCGTGTTGCTCTTATTACAATTCCTCTCGGGCGCGGGCGGTCCTCCGCCGCTGCCATTTTCCTGCAGCAGAAGAGGGGACGTCCCAGGCCGGCTACCGCTATTGTTGTTGTTGTCGCCGCCGCTCGCCGATTCGTGTAACACCGGACCGTCCGCTGCTCCAATGTCACTCGGAGTCGAGCGGCACGACCCACCAGTCCGCCTTCCAGGTCGGGACAAGTCTGCCCGACAGGAGACGCCATGTTGGCGCTGTAGGTTTTGGGCCGCGATGAGCCCCTGGATTTCCATCTTGGTATCCCTGTAGCGGCTACACATAAAAGGCCCGCCCTTCGCAAATGTGTAATAGGATCCGGCAAGCGGGGCCCGGTCTCGGGCCACATGCAAACCGCGGCATGGAGCGGCGCACAAGGAACGGATTGCCGCTTGTGCTGTATTTATTTAGATTTTAACAGATGCCTTTGTCCAAAGCCACATACATGTGAGGTAAACAAAAGATACAACTCTCAAGGAGGCAACTTATTACGATGAAAACAATGTTGTGTATATTTAAGTATCATAAGTTACATTTTGCCAGTTATATTTTTCCAGAATTGTAATGGAAGAGTTACGTAGTTCTTCATTTTTTGCCGCAGGAAATCTTGTTACATAATAAAGATAGACGATCCTAACAATTTGTTTTTTTTTCGTCCTAACATAACGTAAGCAAGGAGACTGCATAACATATGTCGGACAGCTAAATTGATTTGCTAGTACAAACTAATAATATATTTACCGTCTAGTGAACCAGGAAGTTAACAGGTTAAAGCAGATAAAAGAAGACACCATTGTTCAGTTTAAAGTGCTTTAATATTGCCTGGTATCTTTACATTCATAGAAGGAAGCTGCAAATTGGCAACGTTGAGCCACTGGAATGTTCTTTCCAACTTATTTGCCACAATATATAGAAAACCCGACAAAAAATCTCAAAAAGGGTCGTTAATATAATCATATGTAGACAAAGCGTACGTAATGTCGATGGTTTTCTTACGCAATTTCGCTGCATTATTTTTTCAAACGTTGTTGATGCCTATTGGAAACAAAAGTTTTACTTTTTTTAATTGATAGGATAACGCCAAAGTGAAAATTAATACCGCATGTATAGATCTGACAGTTTCAGCTGTTTTCTGTATGTCAGCAACAGAGCGAAAACGAATTAGATTTGCAAGGGATTCAATGGGCAGTATTAACCTTTACAGCACACAAACCACTGCTTATAATGGAATTTATGATCTACGTTAAGACATTTAAGTAACACGTAGCCTATACGTCTAAACATCGCTACAGACGAAAATTGCACATGGCGCGTATGCATGATCCTATCTATTTATCTTAGTTAAATATATAGGCGTAAACCATTTTTATTCAAAAATACTATCCGTAGCAAACTACGTTACATTAACTTTATATATTAAAGTGGCAGTTACTATAATATACACGAGAATGATCATAAACAACAAAACAATGTCATGTAATTAACATTCACTGCAGTTGAAACCTTCCACACGTGTTTTTTATATATAAAGCTTTTTACGTTATGCGTCTATAAATTCACATAGGCTATACCGTATTTTCTTGGTATTTCATTGATGTGTAACGATCACAGTGGCAAAGGTGACAGTGCCGAGCGGTCTGTCATTTTCATCCATGCATGCGAACCGTGTTATCTGCCCTACATAAGATGGATTTTAACGATTCAGCCGCAGCACAAGCAGTAATAGAAACTCCAGAGCGCACAGAAGTAGCCTAACTGCATTTAGTCCCCATATCTAACGAATGAATGAAAGAATGAACCAAAAAAAACACCAAAAACGTATTTGCAAAATAACTGTAGTTCCTCCCAAACAGACACGTAGAAAAGAAAATAAGGCCACAGATTACAAACTTCATATCAGGTGCATTTCCTTTAACTTTTTCAGATGCCATGTGGAAATAGCTGCCTCACGTGGTGTAACTTGGTTTAAGGGAAAGATGAGCGGTTAAGGGCAACATTGTAAGCCCGTGACAACCGGTTGTGACCTTTTGAAAAGTTAAGCCACAGGCATGTGCAAAATATAATCACCACGATTAGTAAAATGTATCCCCATCTTTCACACAGTGAACAGGAGATGGTGTAGCTTAAAATTTTTGGACACCGGAAACCCAGGAAGCACTGCCAGACACCAGAGACCGCACATTATACACAAACACTGGCAGCGTTAATCAATCCATCAATCCATTCATCTTTCAACAACTTATCCTGTTGAGGGGTACAAAGAACTTTAAACCCAATGATAATGTTGCATTTACTACCCTGAACACCACAGGCCTTACGTGATACAGACGGACTGCAATATTAATGTAACACCCAGCATTAACGTCTACCATGTCACCTACGGACCAAAAAGTGAGATGGCATGACACCTCTGTCTGACAGGCAAATACTGTAATAACTTTACTTTTTCTCTTTTACTGGTGAAAGTTGGGAGGGAGGTGATGACAGAGGCTGATACAGTATGTGACAGACCATAGCACTGCTATGCTAATATTCAAGAAATATTGTCCTTGCATTTTATATGCAAGGACAAATCTAAAATGAAAATCAGTTCTCAGAAGATAATGAAGGCTTCATCTAATAAAGCGTGGTCTTGAATGTTTGGCATTCTTGTTTTGTGAAAGGATTTTTAAAGCGAATCTGCGTTTCAGATTATGAATTTGTGTCTCCACTAGGGGGCACTGGAGCCCTTTTCAGCCTCTCCGGCATTTCCCAATCCAAGAATTATTAATTGATGTGCTGTTCAAACGATCACATGAGCCCAGAAGAGAGAATCAGGGAATGAATGCAGAAAAGTCTATTTGATGCATAGTTTAAGACTGATGCCACGTATTTAAATTTAGGTGTTGATTAGTTATTATTTTTTAATGATGACATTAGGAAGAGTTGTGCTGCCATCCAAATTCAATACTGACCAATAATAATAAGGTGAAAGAACAAAATCTGGAATGCCATAACTGAATAATTCAAAACGAATCGGTTTTTAAAAATTGTTTTTCTTAGACTATTAATTTATATCTTCATGGTATGATTTACAAAAATAAATATATTTAAAATGATTAACACCCACACACACACAACATAGAATATATTATGTGTGTCTACTGTATATATTTGTATGTTTGTCTTTGTATGAGTGTCTTTGAAGGCGGGTGACATATTTACACTGAAGATCGCCCCCGCCCTGGAAGCATGGAGACACCCCCCCACATACGGGGTAGCGCTCAGCTGCCCCCCGGGAGGTCTTCTGCGGCAGCTCCTCCGCCTCGCTCAGTCAGCTGGAACCCATCCATGGGGGTGTGTGCTCTGGCAGGGATTTGCAATTCAGCAGGTGATCACGCCCTCGCAGTGTGTGGGGGGGGGGGCGCGACGCACTAATGAACACCCCTCTGGTGGTGGAACCACTCTCAGGTTCTGCTTGGGTACCCTCTTTTTTTTTCTTCTTAAAAATACCCAACAACAACATCCTGGAATCCCTGGGGAGTAGCAGAGAACTACCCTGGCCCTTCGCATGCATCTCATTGGTCCAGTGTTACGGTGAGGTCAACAGTCCCTCTCTTTGGTCGACTGCCTTTTGTCAATCAAAACAACATCAAGAAAACTAATATAATAGCATTAGCAAACTGCTGGTACTGAGCTTACTCAGACTAGTCACTGTTGACTAATACCAGTGATGACTGATAATGTCCAGGAAGATAAGGAGGGTGAGGAGACACCTGATATTTAATTCATTTTTACTGCAAAGGTTTAGAAACCCCTATACTGTAATAGTTTGATCTGATCACATAATATGTAGTTTAGCATTTGGCTATAGGGCTGCATGTCAGCTGGCTTTGGTCTTGGAATGGCTAAGTTCAGCTGAGGTGATATGATTGAACACTATGGTTATCTTTGACACAAGACAGCAGAAGGGGGGGCGGGGTTGAGCAGGCAATCATTTTGGTAGCAGTCCGTTCCTTCCTCTCGTCCGATCAGGGCCGCGGGCGCGGTGTGGGGGCTGTGGTGGTGGCCGGGGCAGGACGGGGTTCCACTCCCTTCGACTTCATGAAGGACAGGAGCTGCTCGGGGATCTCTGCCAGCACGTCTTTAGCCAGACGCGCCATGCTTAGAACCTGGTTCCCTGTCGGGTCGATGTAGTCGCGGAATGGCACAAACTACAATAGGGAGGGGGTGTATTTTTGGTTAAACTCAGGGAATGCAATTAAATGAAAGAAGTGATAGACTCAGGGGTTCTTAACCTGGGGTCCATGGATCCCCCCCAAGGGTCCGTCAATGGGTCTTAGGGAGCCCGTGATGGTCAGATTACAAATGAACAGTTATGTTCCTTTTTAGTCACATTGTTTATTCATTCATGTTTTGTGCATGTCATGCATTGTATGAGCGTATGAGACAAAGTTCAATAAAATATATTCATTGCACGCAAAACTGAGTTTATGCTTATGTGCAATTTTTTGGGAGGGGGTCCGTAGCTTTCACCAGATTCAAAAAGGGGTCCATGACTCTAAAAAGGTTAAGAACCACTGCAACAGAGGATAAGAGTACCTGCACAATGTCTCTCTCAGCAAGGCGCCCCCTAGAGGACACTCTGACATCATCGCCATCCAGCTCCTCCATCGCTGCATGAAGGTACAGTGAGGCACCTGCTTTCAGTACTTCATGTCAAGCACGAGTTACACATGCACGCAAAAGTGATTATAAGCTGCAGGTCAACTGGCCATGTGAGATACGCAGTTCACATTTTTCACCTAGTATAAGGAAAATAATAATAGCAGTAAGATTGCTATGGGATGGAGAACTTTAGGCGTGTCGATGAGAGAAGTACAATGGCATTAACTCTGGAGTTGTCACTTATCTACTAAAGCTAAAAAATTATTAACAGTTCCTTGCAAAGAAACATTGTATGGTCTTGAGCTGTCCTGTGTCATTTAGAAACTTTAAACTATACCCCTATTACATTACGGAAACACCATGCAAAACACTATTTCACACAAGCCAAGAAAACTGAGTTTAAAAATAAATCCAAGAGACTTCTGGCTCAAGTAATTTCCTTGCTGATTTCAATTACAGCTTGACTCCAGCAGACCTAATAAGGATGCATGCTGCAAGCTTGTTTTCATGCAGCAATGAGAAAGCCTGTGAAGACTCAGACAGGGTGCAGGAAAGAACGTTTTATTAAAAGTAAAGAGCAGAGCCCAGTGCTCCTTCCAGAGTGCCCTTCAGTGTCACTGCCTCTGCAACTTTCATGAATCCTGACAACGTAAGTGCCAAGATGGACTGTAGATTCGTCCAAAAGACAGAAGGAACAGAAGTCCCTCACTCAGCATGGTTGGGGAGTCTCCTTAAACACTCTGGTGGATCTGCGGCACAAAGCCTGGGTTCTCCAGAACCTTTCGCAAATGACTCCACCAAATCCATTATGTTCATAAAGGAGCCAACAGTGATCCAAAGAATGACCACACAAGAGCCACCTCCATGTCAAGAGGCAAGCATTTGGTTCCCCTAAGACAGGGATGGCTCTTAGGATTTTGGACACCTAGTGATCCTCAGGATCTTCTTAGATTGAAGTTAAGAAAATCTCACCCAGAGCATGCAGAAGCTCGTTAATGGTCATGTAACCGCTTCTGTTTCTATCAAACTTCAAACACAACAAAATGTTAAATGGGATGAAACAGTGATGAGTGTGTGCTCACCATCAAACTCGGCTGGGCCCACCCCCACTATGATGATGGACATGGGCAAAGCAGAAGCCTGTAGAGAGAGATTCAGGGAACAGAGCAGTGAAAAGAATGATGCTATTTAGTCACATGGATGGGGTAACAAAAGAATATGCTGGTTTCTGAAGGTATAACAATTGCATGTGTGGATTCTCTAAGAAGTGTATTAGTAAGAGCTGTATCAAAATGGAGATGTTTCATAAAAATAACATTGCCCCATCCCTCCATGTCTCAAGAATGAAATTCCAAAGCATTTTGTGTTGGAGTATCTAAAAAAAAGTCTATCAGTGTGTGATGGGTCTATGGTCTAACTGTAAATACCGATGTGAAATCTGTTCGCTATGCTAGCTTTGAAGACTAAATAAAAAAGGCTTGTTATCTGTGCTGTAAAACAAACCGTGTGACATAAGGTACAGAAAGACTACTGATCAGATTTTAGGGGAAAACAAACAGAAAACAGTGGAAGTAATAGGATATGACAGATCTCACACCTTCAAAACCTGCCTCCATCTTCATACATGTAAAGTTCTTAGTGTACCTAACTGAACAATCGCATAATCATTACAATTACAATTAATTGAACAAATTCAGACACCACCAGTAGCGAATAAACCTCACGTTAACCACAGCCTCCTTGGTCTGCACCATGTCAGAAATGACACCATCCGTGATCATAAGCAGGACAAAGTACTGAGATCCATCTGTCACGCCAGCGGCCACCCTGCAGCAGATCACAACAAAGTGGACATGCTAACATTAGCACAGATATCCCAACCTGCGGAACTGCACTGATAAAGGACATATACCGACATTAGCATGGAATTCCCAACCCACAGCATAAGACTAATAAAGAGAGAATGCTAGCATTAGTGTGGGTTACCCAACCTGTAGCATACCAGTGATGAAGATTTTCCCATTGGGATCAATAAAGTTCATCTAATCGAATCTAATAAAGCAGGATCGCTAACCTTAGCATAAGTTTCCCAAAAAGGAAACTGCTTTTCTCTGAATAACAGATCTAATAACCTTAAACACTGGGGGGGAAAAAACTGGCAAGAGTTGTGTTGGCTGCATTTTCCAGCTAGAAGAGAAGTTCACAAGATTAGAAGCTACTGAGAAGAGTGTGCTTGACACAGCGGTAGTTTTGATGGGCAATTATTGCAACAGTAAAGACAGAATTAATAATGTCCTTCGTTAATTTAAAGGTCAATCTTTGTTCATTTTCAGTCTGGTGACCTTGGAATAAAAGAAAAGCTGGTTTAGTTTAATTGTATTTTTTTCCATAAACATCAATTATTATCAACCCACCCATCCATCCATAGCTTATCTAGTGGAGCGCTGTGGTGAGTATGGAAGTCTTACCACATATGCATGGTACACTCAGGATAGGATGTCAGTCCCATGATTTTGAACCAGAAAACCTGGTAGTTATATTGGTAAGCGAAGCAAGTCCAATTTATTTGATATATATTTAAGAAATATCTTAAGATAATTAAATCCCTTGAAGTGTGCCACAAAATCTCATTAGTATACTGGAGCCAGCTGTACGCTTGAAGTTGCAAAAATACAAATTAGACAAATATGCAAATGTAAGAATTTCCCAGAACTTTAGGCTGTGCAGATATGCCACACTTTGGCAGAACAGGTTGTCTTCCTGGCAGCAGGTAATGATGGGTAATGGCGGGTAATGAGAGGCACAGCAGGATGGAGTCGGCGCAGTCAAGGACGGCTGGCGTTCCAGCCTGCCGCGAGACAGGATGATGGGACGAGACCCGAGAGCATCTCACTGAATCATCCTCCAAGAAGGACTCCATCAAACTGCGGGGAACGCTGATTAACGTGCCATTCGTGCGAGCATGCATGTGCATGTGTGTCATTTCCTGTACTCTCTCAACCACTGATTCCCCACTGAAATGGATTTTCCGTCATAAGGTTGTGAGTTAATAATCCTGCTGTGTTAAAGCTTTATAATACTGAATTTTTATATTGTACATTTGGGAATGTACTGTGATGCAAAACAATGGGAAACAAGACTTGATTTGACAAAAGAAGCACAAAATATTGCCTGGAAAGGCTCCAACCCAGCTAACAGAGAATGTTCCCAGAACTTTAGCCCACGTTATGGGAAGGTCTTCTCAAAGTTGGCAGAGAACGTTCTTACTGTGATGTTAATGGAACATTATTTCCACATTTTACATTGTCACATGGATGACAGGTTCTGTAACTACTTATAAAATATTGTTTTATAAGAGTGCATACAGCAAGCACAGTCTCGAACCCAAGACCATAGGGATACAAAACCACAGTGCTACCCAGTGCTGTAGCATGCTTGCTATTTGTTTCTGTTCTTAGCTGTATTAGCAGTGGTGGGATAACATTCTGGGAACATTAGGAAAACTGGACACTGAATGTTTCTATACCTTAATCACAATCTGTAGACATTCCTAGAACAAAAAATTATAAGTGGGGACAATGGCTGCACAACCCTACAAAAACTGTGACAGGCCACAGTCCTGCAGGCCTTAGGAAACGTCCAATAATTAGCACCTGAAACTCCAGGTGAAGTTACTTATATGAATATTGACTGTGATCAAGTGAGTAAGAGCTGAGGAGCTGAGAATGACTGAAAGCCACCAAGCTCCGTGGCTATAAATGCGAGCATGAAGTGTAGATCGTATGACATAGACCTCACATAGACCTGACAGTCAATATGCATAATACTCTAAGATATTGGAGTCATTTCTGGAGAAAGTCTGTGGTAAACACAGGTCAGATTGCAGGTTTTCTAAAGCCTTGGTTCAGAGTATGTGAGGAGAGCACGCAGAGGGTGGGTGATGCTGGGATGCGAACTGGCACTTTCAGGGGGAGAGGGGGGCAGCTGACTGTCAGGACTCCGTGCTCCCTTCACTCATGCACAAACGTGTTTACGCACATCAAATACCCGTCTCAGGGCATATCGCTATAATAATGTTGAGATTACAGCAGAATATGGAAATATATACATTCTGACTAATGCCGTTCACAAGGTCAGTGCCATGCTGGACACGGAAAATGGAGATATCGAGGCAGTTTGAGCCACTTTGTAGAAAAAAAAAATAAATGTAAAAATTACACATGCAAATATGAAAATACTCATTACATTTTCTCTAGAGGTGCCCCTGGGGCAGGTTAAATTACAGAATATCAAGCTCCAAGGCCAGCACCCCCCCACCTCAATGCCCGGTGTTAAGGATGCGGTCAGGGACTCCACACCGGCATGTTAGTGGTGATCGTTTCCTTATAACTGGGAACCTTTCAGATGAATAAAAATCAGGCCGAGGGAAGCTTGGCTCAGTGTGACAGATGGGGGGATGCAGTGTGGTGCTCCAGGGGAAACAAATAGCAGAGAGAACCCCTGGGCCTCCGGTCAGGAGCTCAGGATCTGCAGCTGCGCCGGTGAGAACTGGCTCAGACGTCTGAGCCTCCACCCCGACTCAGCCATGACACTGATTCTCCTTCAGGTTGGCTAATAATGGTAGTAATAATACAGACATTCCCCGGGTTACCATATTTTGACTTTTCTGTTTTTCAGTACATTATTCAATAAATTGCATGAGATATTCAACACTTTATTATAAAATAGGCTCTGTGTTAATGATTTTGCCCAACTGTAGGCTAATGTAAGTGTTCTAAGCATGTTTAAGGTTTAAGGTAGGTCAGGCGAGGCTGTGATGTTTGTTAGGTCAGGTGTACCGTATTATGATGCATGTACGAGTTCTTTGCTTTTCATAAATCCAAACTTGTTCTGCTGAGTGACGCTTGTGGTCAGAGAACAGGCTCAACTGTTTTTGGGAGCTAAGGGCCTTGCTTCAAAGGCCCAACGATATCAGGTTGTGATATCATTACTCTGATAGACACATACTCCTCACTCAGAGAGACACACACCCCATCCAGCATGTTTGAGAAAGAATTCGGTGCAAATCGACCTGTGGGTACATTGGAAACCATGGTGACGGACCACACCTCTCCTCCATCCCACCACCTCCAGGTCATCGTGGTCCACCCTCTCTCACCTGGCCACCTGGTTGATGACGGGAGCGAAGTTGGTTGGTCCATACAGCTGTACTGTTCTGAGGCTCTCGAAATAAGCCTCTAAAACCCCTTCAATCCCCAAACAGTTTGGGTTCTCGCTGTCGGTGTTCTGGAAAAGGCAGAGAAGATGTGTTAATCACATATTTTTTTAACAGTGTCTATATGCTGGTCAACTTCAAATTCGTTTTCCATGCCTCAATGGGATTATGTTTGGCTAAAATTAAATTTCAGAATTTAAAGGGTAACACATGGACCTCTGAATAAAAGGGGCACTAGGCTTCAGAAAGCCTCCTCCAGGTAATACCTTTAATTAATGGAAACCGACGTTGCATAACGAAGTCTGAGCTTTGTCACGCCATGGTGGACCTTAATTGAAAAAGTTTTAATGCAACAGCCGCAGTTTTTTTAGGGTGCAAAAGCAAAATGGAGGGAAGGGTCTCGGGTTCGGTTTGGCATGGAGATCGACCACGGCCATCAGGACGTGAGATTTCTGACCTCTCGTCAAACACTTTTTGAAGAGGGTTATCTTAAAGACGCAGTAACATTTAAAAGCAGTAAACATGAGCAAAGAAAACAATCAGCCCAGCTGAGCCTGAAATGCAAGGAAAGCATGAAAAAGACATAAACTCGTGAAAACCGTGTAAAATAAACAAACCGACAAACAAATATTAAAGAGAATGTACTTTGTTTATTTTCATTTGTCTTTTTCTCATAAACACTAGTGGCAAAATAATCCAACAAAGAACCAGAAAATGTGTTATTTGTGTATGAATAAGTAAAACAGGCATCAAATGTCTGATTATGTATATACATGCAGGCATTATATATTTAAACTGTATAGGTGAAAGACATATTGAACAAATGCAGGCAGTATTTAACTGCAGTGACCTGTTCTTACATGCAGTGAGCACTCCTTACTACTCCAGTGAGAAGGTTCTGCCCCCCTCCCTTATTCCCCTTTGAGGTTTATAGGTTATACATATAAAGTTCAGCATTCATTTAATGTGTGATTTGCTATAATAATTTGTTAATCATTATCAGCCTTCTCCCCAAAATAATATTAAGTTAATTTTGTTCTTGCTGATTTAATTAATTTTTGCTGAAACGGCCCCTGGAAGGTAACAGTGCTGCAGTGCTAACGACTACCTGCGCATGAAAAATGTAGGAATTCACCCCGGGGGTCTGCTGAAGCCTCAGCCTGCAGGTTCATTCTGGAATTACTCATTCCACTCTCTAAGTGCCAGTGTAGCGATCTCAGACTCCCTCCTGCCGCTCTCCATCTCTCTCCCTTTTAAATCCGGACATTGTGCTAAACGCGTAGACGGGAATGTTGCGCAAATAAGCAAACAGCTTCATAATAGACAATGGAGCAACTGCCAGAGTTAAAAGGAGCCAGATGAAGGGGTGAATGCAGAAGGTTAAGGGAGAAAGCCCCAACAGAGATCAGCCAGAATGCTATTGTTTTTTATTGTTCAAATTGACAAAATCATTATTCTGTCTCGCTGTTGGAGCCTCTAATATAACCCACAATTGTTTATCTCTCTTTCCAATCAGCTCTAATTTTCACACATTCCTATGTAAAAAGAAAAAAAAAAACACCCTTTTCTTACCAAAGGGAATGCATGAGAGATCTTGCCATTCGGGGGCAGCTTGGCACCAAAGCCATAAGCAGGGAATAGCTTGTCACTGTCGTAGTCCTGGATGATCTCCCCCACAGCCTTGAGAGCCATGGCATAGGCGTTCAGCTGGTATGGGTTCATGTAGTGCAGGGACGTCGGTTGGGAGGGGTTCCCTGCAAAAGCCCGGCACACACAAACATGCACAACTGCATGACAAACACATCCACCGGGACACAGTCACTGGCAAATGCATTCATTTTATTTCCTGCATAAATAGAAAAAAACTTCTGCATTCACCACCTCTGCTCAGCTGGTTCATTTTATGAAAATTGCAACGGACTACAGCTGTATGACACGCAACAACTGCAGAATATAGTTTACAGTCAAAAGCAGTGCAAACCCTTACCATTAGATGCAGTGAAGTCTATGGCCACAGTGAAGTTCAGCTGTGTCCTGTGTGAAACATATAGCTTTATTAAAACCACAGTGCAGCCATACAGGATATCCAGGAAGACTTTTATTGGCATAATATCACCTGTAATACGATGGGATCGTGACCTATTTATGTATTATGAGGTGATCTGGTAACATTGAGCTAGATTTTCTCCAAGTTCATGAGTTCTGCTTCGGCCTCATTCCTCTAGGCTGACCCTGTTTAATTAACAAGTTTATCTATATGGGCCAACTATGCTGAACCAATAAATATTACAGCGCCAGAGTTTTCAGGTCAAATGTTGCAGCTCATACACAAATAAATGTTGGTATTTTATAGTCACGATTCATAAAATCTTTAAGTACTCTGCGGCATTATAAAAAAAAAAATACAGTGCTCTACTTTAGCTTCTCACTACCATTAAGATAACAATCTTTTTGTTTAGTCCACTGGTTAATTATTACATAGATTTAGCAATATAATTAAAAAATGTCTTCTGTCCAATCAGGTGTGTTAAGAAAGACTCCAGAAAACCTGTGAGCAAGACTAAGGTCAGAGCCACAGAGGGGGGGATCTAGGGAAACGGCTAACACAGATTCTGAGAGTGACAGGCGTGGAGGGGAAGGCAGTGGTGTATGTCAGATAGCTTAGCATTGTCAGATAGCTTAGCATTGTCAGATAGCTTAGCATTGTCAGATAGCTTAGCATTGTCAGATAACAGCTTGAACAGACATCGCTGGGCTTAGACATGATCCTTGCCCCCCTCACCCTCCGCGAATGAAGTCCACGAAGGTGTGCTCAGACTCCACTTTGAAGGACAGGAGCGTGACCTGGGCACAGGGCAGAAAGCGGGCACTTAAAAAGGCCTTGGGGTGGTACCACGTCAGCAAATGCACCAGGGAGAGCTTTGTGCCTTACTTACTGTCCCAGAGTTTATGTATTTTTTCTTTTTGCCTTTCTTTTTCGGATTTAAAACCTGACAGGGCATAAGAAAAAAGAACGAGTGAATGAATGTGTCAGAAATATTTCTGTAGCAATACCCACCCTTCCGTCTTTCATAGCCACTTATGTGGCACAGGGTGACAGGTAACCTGGAGCCTATTCCAGGAAACAGAGGGCGCAGGGTAGTAGGGGCCGTGGACAGGATGCCAGGTCATCACAGGGAACACATGCAATTGCATAAACAATCACAACCTAAGGGCAATTTAAAGATGCCAAATGTGTAACCACATATTTTGTATTGTGGGAGGAAACTGAAATATCCAGAAAAGATCCATGTGAACACAGAGAGAACATGCACGCACGCACGCACACGCACGCACACACACACACACACAGACAGACACACACAAGCACAGGTTTGTAATTATATCTTTGTGGGGACTCTCCATTGATTTCTATCCCAACATGACGACCTTATCCCATACCCAGCCCTAACCTTAACCATAAGTTAAATACAAGACTTTTGACATTCTTACTTTTTTGATTGCATTCACAGATCTTTGCAGGGAGCTGAAAAATGGTCCCCACGACTTCAAAAAACAGGTTTTATTACATTGTGGGGGACAGTTGGTCCCCACGATGTAATATAAACCTAATCCACACACACACAAAGATCTAAAGCCCAGCCCTGGAGCTGTGAGGCTGCAGTGATGCTGTGCCACCGTTCTGCCCTCAATAGCAATGAATTTGAAATGTAATATTGAGAGTTACGTCATCTCAGAAGCAGGTGAATACGCCAATGGGATAAAGGCTTCCTTTTCCATAAAGGTCACAGGGCATGCTTTGTGTAGTTCAATAGCGTTCATGGATGTCCTGGGGTAGAGTGAAGTCAGATGATCGGCTGAGCATTCGGTTCACATGACCAGTAATTCTGTAGCTGCATCCTGGCCGTTCCTTCCAGGCCTTATCTCTTATCAGTCCTTTAGGATCAAGATTGACTTCAGTGTAGAACAAGCCATGAAAACTGCAATGCTTTTTATTTCCTGTTTCAGGGTGAACACTCACTTATTTACACTATATCTTTTTCCCATAATTATATTATTCTGTTTAGTGCCAGATAGCCAACACTAAATGTGTTTAATGCATTTGAAACAGAATGTGGTTATCTATTAAACACTTACGTAGTAAATAATGACACTCTTTCACACTGCATTTTTTATGTGCACATAGCATATATTTTTTTCCCACAGTCACTTAAGGCATGAAAATATTCAACTGATGGGGAAAATGAAAGCTTCCCACCTCATAGACATTAAACTGGCTCTGACCCCGAGACAGCTCTCTGTAGCTGGTGGTGAACTCGCCGATGAAGTCATGGCTGCGGAGGAGAAGAGGAAAAGAAGGTCGCACTGATCACCTTAGCAGGGCACCAACGTGACGCTCACAAGCGCCTCCTTTTCTGAGGCTCCCAACATCCGACAATAATCAACACATCAAACAGCTTCCATTTTCTTCATAGATTGCGGGAAAATGTACAGACTTTAGGTTTAGAGAATGAGCTATTCAAAGGGCAGCTCTCTTCTTGTTCACAGAAGCAATTTCATATGTCATGTGAATCGGTGGGGGCCACACAGAGTGTTTTGAGGGCTGAGGGATGGGTTTGGATGGGATTGTCACAGTCCTTGTATTAATAAACTAACATTTCTGTGGCAGTTTTGCACTGTCCATGAAGGGCTTCTTTGAATGCTGCAGTTATATTTTTGAGCATCAGAAATGACAAAAGGTTTTAAATTTTAATGCGAACTAAAGTCAAAGGTGAATGAAAGAACCTCCACAGCACACAAAGTCCTCCTGGACGCAGACAGTGCTTCCCCAGGAAAAATGCGTGCAGTGCTAATAATGCAAAGAGGTAGCAAACAGTATGTTTACTAAAAAATACCTGCCATCTCTGTCCCAGTCATAAACATCCACCTTGACTGTTCTGGAAAGGACACAGGAAAGAAATCAAGAGACAGCATGGGAAGATTATCTTCTTAGCAGATAGATGGCAAAGTTGTCTTTGCTGGGGATTAAAAAGAACATCTGAACTGGGTTCAAAACTGTCCTTTCATGTATTTGATGGAATTGCCTTCGGAGTCTGTAGTTCAGGTCCGTCCCCTGAGGCACACACAAACAAATTCCAAAAAAATGTCTGGCAACTGTCAACACACTGAAGAGTACACAGCTCCTACAGGCATCTCAAGCGTAAACACTTCTCAGGGTGGGGATAAAAACCAAAGAACATATCTTACAGTTCCACAGCACTACCAATCTCCCACATTAACTTTCGGGTCGCACTCACCTGTCATAGTCGCCATTACACAGTGCCCGAACCGGGATGGTGAAGGGCTGCCAGACTGGATTCAATGTGTTCTTTACAACCTCAGTCTTATGGCAGATGGTGAACCTGGAACATGGGGCAGATAAAACAAGACTAGAACACTAATATAAAACACAAATAGCAGAGACAGAGAGAGAGTCTGGCTGATGTCACTGAAATGGGGAGAGAAATAAAGGTGAGGAGAAGATGAGAGCTTGGCTTGCATATGGAACACTCATAAGGATGAGAATAAAAAATTTGGCTAGAACATGGAGGACCCATATGGATGAGGAGAAAACAAGGTTTGGCTAGAACATAGAACATACAGAAGAATGATGAAAACATGAGGCTTGGCTAGACCATGGAACATCCATTGGGATGAGGAGAACACGAAGCTTGGCTAGAACATAAAGCACCCATAAATATGAGGAAAACAAAGGGCTGCTTGGCTAGAACATGGAACACCAAAAATTATGAGGAAAACAAAGAGCTTTGCTAGAACATGGAACATCAAAAAGTATGAGGAGAACTCATTGATTGATTGGGTCATTGAATACCTATAACTATGATGATAACATGGAGCTTAATGAGTACATGGAACACGTGAGGTGAATGTGGAGTTTGGATGTCTGCAACTGTAAGAACACAACACATTAACTCTGATGATGCCACTGATTTCTCATTTGTACCCACGTGCCATCCTCATTACTGCGGTAGAACACTAGGAAGGGGTCAGACTTTCCAAAGAAGTCCTTCTTGTCTAGCTTGTTAGCACAAAACTGCATGGTAGCAAGGTCCTTGAAGGGAAAAAACAATTATAGTTATGGAAGTATTTCATCTGTAATTAACTGGCTAAAAAGCACAACTCAGAAAATAAATGCGTTAATCCAACAGGGATTTTATAAACCTTATGCAGTCATGACTGTGGAACATGACTGGGGACAAATTTGCATATAACTAATATGATTTGAGTTATCAATAGGAAGACATGCATTGTAAAAAAAAAAAAAAAAATCACATTTCAGGAAAAACAAAATTCTTCTGGTGATTTTGGTTTCCATGGCAATTGATCACTAACTCTGTGCCAAAAGTAGGCAAAGTCCCACCAGGTAATGACACCAAATTAACCCTCATTCGGCTGATTATACTGTTTGGCCCACCTAGGTGGAGTTTGAGAGCTGAATGGAGGCTCGGGGGGGCTGGAGAAAAGCTAGCAGGACACATCTGGCATGTGCTATTTACTCATATTTCTTTCTTCATTGTAATTTGTATTTGTCAGGGTTTTAGCTACTTCAGCTTTTACAGGATCTAGTACCAGGGAATTACAGTAAAATCACCTCATTAAAAGCTACACCCTAATCACTTGCTTCGTGACATTGCCCTCATAAGGCATTCAGAGGCTGTCCACACACAATGCCTGATTAAAGACATCAGGCAGACAAAGGTTTACATATACCAGCAACCCCCCCATGCTGAAAGAAGGAGAGTTCAACTTTGCCCGAAATACTGGAAAAGACATTCCACTTTTACGGTTTAGACTGAGCCGAGTGAGGAGAAATCGCACTTCCCTCTGTTTGATTACACGCATGTCAGTTAGCATTTCCAATAGCATTTCAGGATAAACAAATAGCGGTTTAAAAAACGAAAGGGGTAGAGCTTCCGACGTAAAACTGTAATAATAAATATATGAACAGAGGGGGGGCAAATCCCATTATCTGTGACACACATTTATAATTTAAAAAAAGAACTGTATTTTGACACACCCGTCAGCATCAAATGCTGATAGAAAGAGCCGGAGGGGCATAAATCTGACATCAAACGACCGAGGGAATTCTGAAAGCCAGAGAATGATTTTTCTGTCTCCCAGAGCAGCATCCTCGCTTCCGTCTCCTGTGCTGCTGCGTCTGTGTGCCCTTTGCTCATGCATGCGTCTGTAGGCAGGAAAAAAAAAAAGGTACGAAAACCAAGAACAGGTGATACTGACCCGGCAGTTGCTGAGCTCCTCGGCAGTCAAAATAACAGTCCCACATCTCTTTCCTGGAATCCCACTGAAAAGAGGGCGAAGAAGAAAAAAAACACAGAGAGATGGTTTACATTTTATGAAACATGCAGAATGGCAGTCAGTCAAAATAAAATAAAAAAGACGTAGGACAGAATGACTGTTCTTCCTCATGTACTCTATCTCTCCTCCACTGCTGGAATCACCCTGTCACAACAGGTCCCACCATTTGTCCCGTGAAAAGAAGAACAACAACAATTAATCTACAGGGGGGTTTTCTCTTCTTTCTTCTACAGTCAAGGCCTGGTTTTAAGAAAACCCATTAGGTGTGAGGTTTTAAGCTCACTGTGCTCTCACAGGATGTACCATTAGAACACTAGTTTTTGCAAAAAAAAAAAAAAGAATTCATTTACTGTGACCTTACTTTAAAAATTGAAGTATGCACTCAGACTATGATTCAACATTCAGTACAAACTTTCCCATTGTCATCCAAAATCTGACCCCACTGTTATTTCAAAATTATCCAGATGACAATGGACCTCTGTAGGAAATCTTTAAATAACCAATAATACAATTTTGAAAATGTCCTTAATCAGAGAACCAGATGGGATCATAAAGCATGTTGTATCTAATGAATCCACATCAGGCTCCCCATAGGATCTCCAGTAGCCATATTCCAGAACCAAACCATGGGCACTAACCTTCGCACTCATCACACCACACTATCTTATACGTCACACTGTTTTCTCTTGTGGTCCACAATCTTTTTCCAGATGTCTTCACATCTTGTTCTCCTCCCACTCACACCTGCCCATTTAGCTCCAACCAGCATGTTACGCAACCATAGAAAAACTTCTCAGAACTTCTCACCAGACCTGTTTTCAGGACAGTTGCTGCTTCTTGGAACTCCTTACACATCACGTAACGGTCGACATTACACTTTACAGTGGTATTACCCTACACTCCACCTGTAAGTATTAGGGGAAATATTCATTCTGGGTTACAGCTAAAGATTCCCAAAGATGTCTAATGTGATCTGCAAAAAAGATTTTATGGTCTCCAGTTTTAAAAACACCATACATTCCCTGTCTCCACCAGTTAGAAGCAATAAGATTAAATCTTAAAGCCATCTGCTATAAATAAAAGTTTAAAAAATCCCAAGGTAAACAAAGACTAGCGAGAGGTACAGCAGCAAGAGGGGCTGGGTTTAGTTGACTTCATGCTGCCATGGCTATTGGTGACCTCCCTGGAAACAGCAGCTGCAATACCAACAGTTAAGGCTAACAATTTGTCTTTAAGAAATGTAATCTTAAACCTATATCTCAAGAGGCATCATCTGCTGATTGACTTTATGCATGAAAATAGCTTTGAAAGACCATTTATTAGAAACTGTTTCTATTCACTCCCAAGATGACACCACCATAAACGCTCAAAGTAGTGGAGATAGGATTGTCCATGAAAATAAAGGCCACTAACAGGATGACTTGCAGTCCTTCTCTTCAAATATACAGCACTGTGCAAAAGTCCAAGGCAGAGAATGTTTAAGGCTATTTATATGGGTGGCAAGTATATATCAGCTCAGAAAAAAACACAATGTAACATTAGAAGGCATGCACATTAATGGTAACACAATAAATAAATAAAAATAAAAAAACTAACTAGAATTTCTTCGGTTCTCCAAAAAGTCACTGATATCTTGTTGGATGGCTAGAAGAACACCACTAAAGTTCTCAAACCTCTCCTCAGGGGCACCTCAGTCATTCCAAGTATTTGTTAAATTTCTCCATCAGGTCGATTTAATTAATTAAATAACAATGAGGTATCGATTAGCTAAACAACGGATGATAGTGGTTGAGCCAAAAAATCCTTGGGTTTAGTGGAGAGGTTCTGAAATGGCTAATGTCCTGTGAAACAGATTATGATTCCAGTAAGTGAATGATCATAAGAACATGTAAGGCACTTTCAAAGAGAAAAGTCATTTCGAAAAGAGACCCTCTAGATCAAGAACCTCTAGATCTCTTCCAAAATTTAGGGAGGATCAAAGCAAAATTTAATTACAACATACTGCAATAATTTAAAAAGGCGTATTATATTGGAGAGCCCTCAATCTCCTCAAAGTCCTGTCAGAAATAAAGACGATTGCCAAGAGCTAATCTGACAAGATTAAATATATCAATTTATTATGTTTTACATAATGAACTTCTTTAAATGTCAAAGCCGGGTTTTTGATTAATGGACTTAATTAAGTCCTGATATAGAAGCGTCATATTTTTGTGAGTTTTGTGCTCAAAATTTTGTGCGATTGAAAGTACACACAGTACCTTCTGAGAACTTCTCAGCCAAGTGTGAGCTGCAAGCTCAAGAAACCCATCACAAAATCATGATGGTTTCTTCACCCAAGAAGGAAAGCGAGGGATGTAGATGTTGGACAAAGCACAAGAGTCGTCCTTCAAAATAGCTTAGGCATGCTGTTTCTACTGAAGAACGTGGCAATTTCTGTCATCCGAAGACACTGGAAAGTCATCCGCTCACCACCATCTGCTGGCGTTCCCATATTTCTGACTGCCAGCCTCTTCAGGAGCTTGACTGACAAATACATCTTATTAGTGGCCGCCAAGACTCCAGTCAAGCATTAACGAGCTGTTGTGTGAAGGCTATGGTGAAATTAATGACCAACTTTACTTCCAAGTCTCCGTGCTACTAAAGACATGTAAGGTGGACCAAAAGTCATTTTTGGTTTTTATTTTACAGTACTGATTGAGTCATTTTCAGTCTTTTAGGTGTTCCACGTGTCCTCCATCTATGATGAAACATTCCTGGAGCTTCTCCCTGACACTGAGACACACTTTAGCTTCACACACCCTGGTTAAAATCACTGTCCACAAATGCTTGCGAGATGAACTCCCTCAATTCATTCACTGTGCGGGGTTTCCTCTCAAAAACCTTCTCCTTTACTACGCCCCACAAAAATAAAAAATTAAAAAGTGCATGGGTGTCAGGTTGTGTGAACGTGGGGGCCAGTCAGTGCTGCCGTGTCCCCCGATCCAGCGCTGAGGAAAGGGGCTACTTTGTAAAATAATAACTGTATAGCTACTGTTGCCCCCCCCCCCCCCCCCCCCGTATGTGCACCCAGCCCCTGACGTAACAGAAATTCACCTCACTGCCATTGATGGGACCTCCCCAAGTACACTTAGTAACTTGCAATATCCCATGACACCCCCTTCTCTAGACTGAGGATTAGGACAGGTGTGAAAGGGGTCTTCTAATCTTCATGCAAATGTCAAAGCTACAGGACTCCTTCCCCTCTCCAGCCACTCTCGACACAGGGATTAACCCCTCTGATACATATATACAGGGAATTACCATTGAGGAAGTGAATAAATAATGGATGTGACATCTGTTGCACTTTAGTCTCGGTAATCCATTAGTCATGCCTGATAAAGAGGAAAGAGTATCATTAGGGAGGGATTTTGTTTTCTCTCTGAAATAAAGAAGACTTTGATCTCGCAGCTGGCATCTTAGACGCAAAAGATGCCTCATAACGTCATTCCCTCGGTGCCCCGTATTAACAAGCTACTCTGAAGTTACGTTTGGTTCTGTTGGCTAATCGGCCAGCCGGCTTCACAATGACGGGACGGCTGGTGACATCCAGCCAATAGGAAGGAAGCGACAGGGTTAGGTGTTGATTAAATTCCATTCTCACACAGCTCTTTCAAGACATCCCCAATGCCGCTGCCATTTCCCCCTGAAATTAAATATTAAATTGAATATGGACCCGGACATCTGGCAGGCTGCAGCACCCAGAGAGAGGATCACCATGTGAGCGTATATTTCCTGGCTCAGTCATGTGCAGTGGTCTGTGCTCAGCACCCTGCCTCGGGCAGCCAGGTCAGCCGACAGCCAGATCCTGGGCTTCCAGTCACAGAAAACCGTAGCCAAGTCTCCCTCATGCATCCCTTACAGTTATGTCTGCAAGATTATTAGAGCTGGGTAATATCTAAATAAATAATATGTGGTGTTTGAATTTAATGCCCTGCAATTGGTTGGCAGCCCATCCCAAGTTATTCCCTGCCTTGTGCTCGCAGGGACAGGCTCCGGATCCCCGTAACCCGGGACAAGTGGGTACAGAGTATGGATGGATGGATTTGAATCTAAAAGTATCGGAATAAATGATAGGAAACTGGTCCCCTTAACGGAAAAAAATGGGTATTCGTCACGTTGTGGGGACATTGTGTCCCCATAAGGTAAGGTATACACGCTCGCTCACACACACACACACACACACACACATGCACCAACTCACAGAAATGTTTGTATTCATATCTTTGTGGGGAGCGTCAATTCATTTCTATGGGCAAAACCCTGAACCCAACAATGACAGCCTTAACCCCCACCCAGCCCTAACCTTAGCCATAAGTGACTAAAGAAAATTCAAAGCTTTTAGTTTTTTGATTACAGTCACATATTTTTCTAAGATTGAGTTTCCACAATGTAATATACATCACAGACACACACACACACACATAGAGTTATTCTCTGACATTCTGACAATCAGGTCTAACACACCTATAATTCATGTACATATTTAACATCCTGCAACAAACATCATATCAGTGCATTATTACCACAGCAGCATCCTGGCGGTGCTGCAGAGGAAGGGAACGGAGTTCAGACGTCAGCATGGGTATTTGTGCCCAGCCCACACAGCCGAGGCGGACTCTGTACATTCAGGCCGACACCGAGGGCCCAGGAGGGCATGAGGGCGCGACCAGTGCTGCCAAAGACGCTTTAAAGGGCCTGGCGGCACGGGAGAGGCTGAAGCCGGGAAGGCAGGGAAGGCGGCTGATTGGCATGGGAGAGGCTGGAAGCCGGGAAGGCAGGGAAGGCGGCTGATTGCAGCGTCAGGTGTAACAGCCACTGTTCATTTCCATCTCTTTCAAAATTAAGTCTAAAACAAAGAAATAAATCAATAAGCAGTTTTACTTCAGCAAATTAACTGACTCACTTCAACTGGCTAAGAGAATAACAGTAATAACTTAAATGAAACTCAGGGAAAAAAAAAATCTAAGGAGGTTCAGCAAATCAATGCCAAAAAAATCTATGACAAATCCTGTATCTGGGAAATGCCCCCACTGGGTGGGCAGTGAGCGGAGGAGGAGGAGCGGAGCCAGGGCAGATCCACACCAAAGTCTTTTCAGCGCTGAAGGGCCCTTTCTCAGAGAATGTAAAGAACTTGACGGGCAGTTCCCAGCGATGGTCCTCGGACCGCTCCGTCAAGCAGAGCATCTTTCAATGCAGTTCTCACCTGATAATGCATCTCTGTATGCATCACTGATCATTCTTACATGTGTCTAATGTCAATGCAACATTGTTCTTTGCCCAAGAATAATAATTCATTGGAATGAATGATTATCCATTCATCCATGCATCCATCCATTCTCTTATCCTATTCAAGGTCACGAGGGGTCCGGAGCCTATCCCGGAGGCTACGGGTGCAAATCAGGGAATAACCCAGAATGAGGCACCCACCCATCACAGGGAAATGGATGATTATGTAATGGAAATACTGAGAATGTGAGTATCCAAAACCCAGCAATATCACCATTTATTACAATTTATTTCGAAAATCACATTGTTTTTACTTGAAAAAATATCCCTGATACTGAAAAACATACCAGAACGTGGACAGAAAGTGAATGTGTGTGAGAGAGGTACTGTAATCATAGCCAGGCTGAACAATTGCCTGTTTCCAAATGAATAATATCAGAACCAGTGGCACCCGGTACTCCTGGGGTCCATTATATGGAGTCCACTATACTTACTTTTTAATCTTTCTGCCTGATACCTCTACAAATGGTCCCTGTGTTGGAGAGCTTGGTAAACTGCTGTTTCTGGTATAGTATCAGCAGGGGTATTAATGAGAGCGGCTCATGTAGCTGGAGTGCAGTGCAGAGCACTGAGGCCTCACACTCCCAGGGTGAATCCTGCTTCATTCTGCGTGTGTATGTGTCTTTTGCATGTTATTCACGTCTTATACTGCATTACTCAGGGGATTCTCATTCCTCGGACACTTAAAAGACCACCTGTCAGGGTAACCAGTGTCTTTAAATGACCCACAGCGTATCTGTGCCCTGTGAAGGACTGGCATCCTGCCCTGGGTGCACCCTGCCCTGTGAAGGACTGGCATCCTGCCCTGGGTGCACCCTGCCCTGTGAAGGACTGGCATCCTGCCCTGGGTGCATCCTGCCCTGTTCCCTGGTATAGGCACCAGGCCCCTTCCCACAGCTCTGTACTGGATAAGCAGTTTGAATATTGATGAAGTCCTACGTGGGTGTTTTTATGTGACTGTTAACCAGTATAATATCACTGGCAATACACTAAAGAAAAAATGAAAAACTTTGCAACAAAGAAATATTTCTATTTGTTTGAATAGCCTAAGTCCACAGAAGATTCTCAGACACAAACCAGCCAACCTAAATACATATCCATCATTACAAAAACTGCTCTATAATTCCCTGGGGGGAGGAAAAACTGCTGATTTCTGCTTACTGTACTGGACAAGAGCTGAAAAAGAGAATTTATTTAAGCTAATGTACTGTGACTTCCTGCCACTCCAGTCCTCTTCAACACCATCTCCATCCCATTTGCATTTTGGTTCTGGGAAAAACAAGTGTGAGGGTAGCACACATGACTGCAAGAGACTGCAGTGCTGCTGAAAGTTACATATTGAGACAATTTCCCTGTGAAGTACTCAGAACCCCCCCCCCACACACACACACACACACACACACACACACACACACACACACACACACACACACACACACACGCACAAAACGACTTCACTCTGCTCAGCGTTTAGGTTTATCGCTGAATGGCGTATCCCACATCTCATAAATAATCGCTCAAACTCCACCACCACACTCCCACACGTGAACAAGGTCTCTCCATGGCAACGTGGGCCTACTAGCCTAGCGCCTCTACTGCAAGATCTACAAGGGAAACAAAAGGCTTCTTGCAAACTCAGGTAATGGAGGAAAAAAAAATAAATTCCACACATTATGCACCTAAAAGGTTCCCGTTTATTCTTTGAAATAAGAGCCGGGATTTAATCAAACTCTTATCAGAGGCATATCGCAGGAAAGCAAAGACAGCCAATGTTATGTGTCAGTTCTCCTTAAGGAGGAATCAATGCCTGATTCAATTCCAATTAAATTAGTAACTCAGAGCAGGTGATGCAGGAAATAAATGACTGCCAGTAGTGTATCATTGGCTAGAAATGATGTCCCAGTCAGCAGCGGCTGTTTAGTCAGGACGCCAAATTAGGTTTTGTTGTTTAGTACAGAACAGGCAAATTGTGCCATTATGCAAACATAATATGATTAAATATATCTCATTAAGCACCAGTTAGATCTGCATCCAGTAGCTGTGCCCCAGGAACAAATACAGGGCTAATGTTTTCTCCAGTTTCTCCACCTCCTGAATTCATAAATTTTGAACAAGCTAGCAAACCGCCAATCTAGGATGGATTTGTACCTGTAACACAAGAAAAGTTTCATTGTAGTCAAACCTCTTTCCGCTAACATAACAACCTCTCCTTTTCAGGGGATAGAAATATATATCTCAAAGATATTACTGTAGCCTTCTTTTCAAATTTGTGGTGATGATGATACTTCCACAGGATTGCCACTAGAATTTAGAGATAGTTTATTTTAGTAAAACAAAACCTCATATGAAAGCTACACTGCAATGGCTTTTTTATGGGATGAATCCATCAGGCAAATATGAGCCACATCAATCAACAGAGCTCCACCAATGGACCAAATCTCGATAGACACCCATGTCCACATGAGTCAGGACAAATTAAGATTAAGGCCAAAGCCAAAGACTTTTTTCGAGCAGTCGGAAGGGTGTAACTCGTGGAGGGGGTTAGTGCGGAATGCAGAAACGTCCGGAATCCCAAAACCAATACAGCTACTCCAGCTGTTTGCCCCATAAAACAACTCAGTTTTTTTTTCCTGGTTTGCTAAATTATTTATATTGATTAAGGAAAAGAGAGAGAGGGAAGCCTTGTTGTCTTGGAGAAACATTACGACTGACCAGTGACCAAAACTACTACAGTTACACTGGTACAGCAGTTCCTCACCTGTGTTATTTAAACATATACAAGAAGTGGATGTCGAAGAAGAGTAACATATCTCCTTGGTTGCCATAGCAACCAGCCAGCAAGGTGAAAAGTGCATAGCTTTATGGGTTTTTTTTTTAACAGGACAACTTGCAACCCCCCTTAGGAGATACAACTCAAAGAGGCACCCAGCTGAAATGTTAATGGAGGTACCATAACTGGACCTAGTCACCCCCAGACCACTCCTGTTGGATCAGGAGTGTCTGAGGGTGGATCTTAAGGGCTGCAGAATCTTTCTGTCCTACCTCACTTCTGGTCCTTCTTTAGTTATTTCAGCCTGCAAATGTATAATTGAAGCAGAACGCCAGTACAGCTGAGGTGAGTCGGCGTTAGTGCTGGGCGTCGGTAGTAAGTCTGTAGTAAAGACTCTTTGTGCTGCTGGTTCTGTGTGGGTTCAGCTGGATTTGCCAGTTTCCATCGCTGCACCTGCCACTGGGCGTGTGCCTTCAGGTGTGACTGGAAGCAGACTTGCCAATAGCAGAATTCTTCAGCATTTACTGCAGATAGGGGGGTTTCTTTTTTTCAATCATTTTATGTATGGATATGTTCTCTCCTGCATGGGGTATTATATATATGGCAGGTTTTCACACCATTCAATCACAATGCAATAATGTGAGCAGTATGTAAAACAAAATAATTGCAATGGATATTATTTTAGTATCTTTAAGAATAACAGTTTCTGGACAGTTTCTTTTCAAAATAAATACAGCTTTTCAAAATTCAAATTAGCTTTTTGCACTTTCTATATTTCATTTATTTATTAGACTGTAGAAACTGTTAAGAATTACAGTGCTGCCTGAGGTCATAACAGCTGGAACCTTCAAATGAGGAACCAATGTCTCCTGCCTATTAATGACATAAACCAATCAAAGCTAAGAGTTATTCAAAGGGTGAGGAATTACCCAGCTTGCAGAAATGCATAAACAGTTCAACTATGCCTTGTGGTCACCAGAAGAGAAAGGAAACAACATAGAATCTGATTATAACAAACATGCTACATGTTTAGGGAAAACCTCTCATAAAGAAGAGTTTAATATAAATTAAAGATCATTTTAAGGTAATAATCCCAATAGCCATTGTTCTGATAATTTAAAAATGGTTTAATGCCTTGTTTTCTCTCATAGCTACGCTAACGTCGTAATTGGCATCTTGCTGGTCCAGATCCTATGTTGAGAAGGCGAGGGAGGAAGGAGAGACACGCCCTTGAAATGACGGCAATCCACTGAAGAACAGCAGACTCATCAAAACACCACACTAATGTGCAGATAATCTGTCGGACATTAGTTACTAATGAGCAAAATCAAATGCACCAAATGTCACGTTTCCCTTCAAATCCCACATTCCCATGTATACTGAGTTTAGAAGAGATGAATCAAAAAAATTCAGGAAACGCAACTAGTGGCAAGAAATAAAACTGACAAAGCTATTGGCGGTCTCTTGGTTTCTGGTCAGTTTCAGCAGGCGAAGTCCTTGAACTGATCAGATAAATATAGCAGTCACTGATTTCGTATTTACCTATGCATACTAACGTAAGGCCACCACCAACTGAAAGAATTAAAAATGCTGAGGTCACCACGTACGAGAGCGTCTTCTCCAGACGACCACCTGTCGAGCCGATGATTTCCCCCAGTGTGCAAAATGTCTGTCCAAGGAAGTCCTAAAACACAAAAGAAAAATTATGGAAAATTCCAGCATTGCTGATGTGACATTTAGTCTCATACTGTCAAACAAAATGCCTCAGAGCGTAGACAACCTTAATATCAATGTGTCAGTTTGCATATGTTTTCATGTAACCTCACTGGCTGAATATTGACAAATCCTCAAAATGTATAAGTTAATTTACATGTTAGAAATAAATAGCATTTTACCAGTGTTCAAGATGTGACATCAAAGGGACCGCCATATGGAATTCCCCAATAATTAATGTATCATTACATCATTGGTATCACATATATTACTGGGCATTATTTCATTGCCCATCAACACAGGCAACGGTAGTCTGTCCTCCATGTGCATAGTGGGTCCAAGAAAAGCAGAATGCGACAGGAAGCTATCCAAAGGAGTCCTTGGAGTTTTCAAGTCCAGGTAAGAAAGAGGCCCGGAATATTTCCAGGAAAACAACAAAAGTGTTTTTCCACCGAAGCACCACACAGCTTTCAGCTGCCTTGGGGGAGAGCTTTAAAAAAATGGCGATGGATGAGCACTTCAAAAACCAGTGTGAATAAAGAAGAGTGTCATTACCAAGCAAAACACAGCAGGCAAGAGATCCCACAGTAGACGGTCTTTGAAATTTGATGAGACAGAAGCACTTAAATTGAACTTTTGGTGACATCGGAGCAATTTGACAAACAGCGGAAGACAACATGGAATTTTCTTTTGTGTCATAGGCGAACTGTGACAAGAAATGATTCACCGACACAGACAGACCCCATATTCCACTGACAAATACATCAAAATATACCATTTATCATGCTACAGCGATTCAACAGGTAAAATACGCAATTTAATTATTTTTTTACCATAATCAGGCATCCCTGGTCTATTACATCATTCTACTAAGAAGTACATGGAAATTATACTAACCTTCTGTTTATCCACATTGGTGCAGGAAGAAGGAAATTAAAATGTGTTATTTGAAAAAATTATTTTTCCGGGGAAAAAAACAGTAATAAATGCATGGCACCGTACTAAGACATTAACTGCTGGCAGACAAATTCGGGGTGAAAAACACTCTGACCAGACAGAACCCCACTCTGGCTGTTACTGGTAGCTTAGGTACCATAGCACTCTCCAGCCAGTCATACCACTGAGTAATACTGAGTAACACACATAAACACACAGACAGAGGAGCAGCGCACATAGAGGCAGAAGTGCTTACATGTTTTGAAATATTACAGCTTCTGGAATCCACATTGTACCTGTATAAATTTAGGGGAGACACATTTGTGTGAAATAATCATAAAATACAGTGACTTACAGACAAACTAAAATTTAACACATTGCCCTACAAAGTAAATTAGCTGATATTGCCACTGAGACCCATGTGAGCCTGCAGGCAGGAGTTAAGCAGGTAAAGAAATCTGGGTCGATGAACTCCAGGAACTACAGGTCAAATACACTGATTAAGCTAAGAGTCTGCATGCAGATCGTGATAAGAATTACGGTAAACCTAGAACAATATAAAGGAAACGGTAATCTATCTGCTTCACACAAAACAGCTTATTATCTTTGATCTCTGAAAGAGAAAGCCTTGCTTGCTTAACATTTCAAGCATGATTCATTTACTTATCATACCATTTGAACGAAATAGAAAGTTCATTTCAGGAAGTGAGGTTTAATTAACTACATTATAATAGGACACAGTCTATCTGCTCAATCTCTATTACTGTAGACACTTGTTATTGGGCAGTTGCATCAAATCTGTGTACTGTGGTGATGGAGGGAAGCAGGACGGGTACGTGATCCGTGAGTGAAAACCACGTCTGCATCTCCATACTCACACGTCAAAGCGCAGGTTCTGCTTCTCCTCGAAGAAGAAATCCAGCACGAATTTCCGCACAAAATCGGGGTTCAGTGTGTTTTCAATCACCTCTGTTCTACCGAACTGAGCAGGCAAAAATAAAACAGAAAAGAAACTGGGGGAAATGTTTTACAGTCCTGTAGACTTTGCTAGGCATCAGTGTTGGCTGTAGTGGCAAGGCAAACGAAACAAAATCAATTTAGACAAAAACTACTTAGACTTTGTTAGTTTTGGACTAACAAAAGGGCATAACTGTATTGGCTGGTTTGTGATTATTGAGGGGGGGGAGGGTTACAACCACGTGTGAAAACAGCAGGTGCAGCTTATATGAAACTGCATATTAATGCCTTGGAGACTCCTCTATTGTGCCGGCTAAGTGGCTAATGAGAGAATCGACCACTGCTATAAGCTTTTACAGAACAGACCCTTAGCCATTCCACTGTGCTGTTATGCATACATTCATCCTTTATGCAATAGGCATTATACGTGCTGAAGTAGTTACGTGTACATTAGTGAAGGGTACAGCATCAGCAAAGCAGATGAGGAAGGCCTGAATTCAGTAGTCAAACCAGCTATCTGCATTAATAACTTTATTACAGCTCTCGAAATCAAGGCGCAGCCAAAACATACAGGAAAATCTTCTTCCCCAAAAACAGCCAGTGAATTTAAACTTGAGAGCATGCCGTTTGTGGTGAATAACAGGCAGCTAACTGGATCTGGCTCATCTCGTTCACCGCGCCTGGGAGCCGCATTGTAATTTCAAATTCCGAGAAACTAGGTTAGCTTTCATATTGCCTCCCACAGAGGTGCACAATGCATGCAGCCGAGCTCTCTGGACACGGGCTAATGAACGCTCTCCAGTCAGGAGGGTTTTATGCTGGTTTTATGCAACTCCGTCCGTCACTCGAGCGATGCAATTACCTCCCAAAGCTTTTTCTTTTTCCAATGCCTACGTTCTTTTTTAATGCTGAAAATCTGTTTAATCTCTCGCTTGACATTCCAGTCCAGCAACTGTGCTCATTATATATATTTAACACCACAGCATGCATTTTTGAAAACAGGCGAAACTGAAGCCACTTTAATTCACTGATGAAGCTGAGGTCCCTGGCCAAGCGCAGTAGTCGCAAAGCAACACCTTTGTCTTAGCAAGAAGGTGATCTGTTCATCTGAACTGTCCAGCTTAGACTTTGTCAGTGCTTTGATGTATGTTTTTTTTCTTGACAGAAGCAGAGTCTTCAACCTACTGAAGATTCTGTTCACCCATCACAGATCAAGGAAAATGCCCTAGACTAAGAAACGCTAAATGTCGTCACTTTTGGCATCACAAGATCTTTTCTGAATGCAGAACAGAGGAGTTTATGGTGGCGTCACATTTCACCTTCCCACCACTCCTGGCAGCTGTACGCCAAGCTGGCCGATTTGGTGATGCTGATTTTCCCTGGCACTTCACACTTGGCATCAAACCACTGAAGTACGTGCTTGGGGTTCAGGTCAGATAAGGCCGGGAGCCTCATCTGCAAATAGCAAGGATACCAGTTACAGCTCTCCGTGCTCTTCCAGCGACGGCTGCGCATGGATTTCGTGTTCCATGAAAGTCACAACCAGGAATGGAGATAAGATGCACTATGCAGGCTAACATCCACTCCCAACCAGAACCCTGCATTTATACAGGTAAGGAACCGAACATACATGCAGCCTTCATATATCTACTGAAACTCCCATAGTCTGTGCCGGAGCACATGCAGACTATGTGGGCTTGCACGGCAGTCCAGTAGGACCACACAGAGGTAGTCTTTCGGGCAGTCACTTTCTCCAACAAAACTTCGGAATACTTTTCACTGTATACACACTGACAACTTTCTGTCTGCGGCTTGCAGTAACATGGACGCACCACGTTCCACGAGGGCTGGTTCCAGTGTTCTGGCATGGAGGTGATGCCGGCAATCGTCAGCCATGGCTCACCTCCGCCATTGTGTGGTAGATCTACATTATGGCTCCACATGGCCAAAATGAGAATTTACAGTGATCAGCTCACCGAGTCCTAAACATCAGCCTTATTTCAGCTTTCCCCTACAAACTGCCCTATAAATCCTTTAGAATAGCATTTATACAGTGTGTCTATTTCTTTATAACTTGAAACTTTTCCATGATATATATATAAATAACTGTCATTTAAATGCATGAGGCAATAGGCTCTGAAGCAGCATGTAAGCAGGTCAATCTGCCAAACTCTCCATCCCCCCACCCCAGTGCTCCCTTTCCGGTAGCGCCCTGCCAGGCCCTAACCCTGCCTGTCTACCGGGGGTTACGGCTGTGCACCTTTGATAGGTGCAAAAAGGACAAATTAAACATGACTCCCCAAAGAGAGGAGAGGAGAGGAGAGGAGAGAGAAGAGCAGAGGGTAACTTTGTGCCCTTACTCTCCAGTGTCCCCGACCCGCACACGTCTGGCACAACACTCACGCTTTCTGACTCTCACGCTCACGCAAGAAATCTGGGGGCAAATCTGTATTATTCCATTATTAACCTAAAATTAGCTACATAAAAAGCATTGGGGTAGTTTGCACACCATACAGAATATATGTAAGGTAATAAAACCGTTACATACATACAGACTTACATACATACAGACTTACATACATACAGACTTACATACATACAGAATTGAAAATCTCAAACCAGCCAGCTGACCAAAGTTGGGAGCCCTAAGACATTATTTTCAATATGCAATATATTGTAATCAAGGTATGGTGATGAACAATAATGTAATTAATGCATTACGAATACAGACAGCTGAACTCAATACAATATTTAGTAGCCTAAAATCTTTCTGATAAATGAATTTGTATGTATACTATGTATTGTGTGTGATTTGATGAGCGTTTGATGAGCCTTAGACCACAACAAAAATTTCATTGCAGTAGGTTATATATGGACAGTATAATTATTTTTATTGTGTTATTAATAAGGCTTTCATTAATATATTCATATATTTAAATTATTACTATGCATTCTGCAATTAATTTGTGGTCAGTTATTTGATCTTTTGCAGGTAATGAGTCACCTGGCTATCAGGTTATTCCAGAACACTTGTCCCTCCAGAGTAATAAAAAAACCCTGTTTTATTTGCATCCCCTCTACCCAGGCAAAAACTCCAGTTAGACACGATAAAAGAGCATAAACGACGGGTGATGCCGAACAGACGATCGCCTGCTGAAACTCGAGGTGAGCGTGCGGCCGGAAAATCGGGGTTTCCCCGGAATCAGTGTGGGCGCAGAGCGGCAACATGGAGACGGCAGGCCTGGTTCTTCCAGTGAATATTTCATGAGCCCCTCCTGAGCGAGAATCTGTTATCTCACAGAGTGGAGAAACCTCAGCCACTTCAGTAGCTGACCTGCCGCCGCGTACCACTTTTCTCACTTAGTGGCTCCGTCTCCCACAGAAAATCACCAAAGTACTCAGGAACAGACTTTTCTAAATCCCGTATACCGAACACAACCATACTACAGAAGACAGACAGATCTATTGCAATATTCCTGCTATTGCTCTGGATAATGAGCACTCTGCTTGGTTTACAATTTACTGTTACAGTACCTGTTGAGCCGTAAGATTCATACAGAGTTGCTCTCTGCTTCCAGTGAAAGAGCAACACAAATTTTAGTTGGGTCCCCAGCTGTAAGGCCCTTCTTTATATGTTACTGATCTTTTTGAAGAAACAGACAAGGAAACAACAGGAAGTTCAGGTGAAATTCCTACTTGATCCTTATTTTTTTTTGTCTTGTAACTGGTTAATACTGAGTAGCTTTAACAGAAGGATCTTTTATTAATTATCCATGAAGCCAAACAACACAGAACTGAACACCAACACATACCACACACGATGAGCAAACTACGAACACGATGTACACATGGTAACGGCAGCAAGGCCTTTGAACTCACCTCCCTCCACTCCTTGGTGCCAATACTCTGAACATAAAGCACGACCACTGCCAGAGTAGGAGAAAGAGGGGAAAGAGGCATGAAAACTCAGGAAAGGAAAGAGTACTTCATCCAGAAGACACACACAGATTCACACACACCTCTTTAAGTCACTATGGGGATGAACAGTCTTTGACTTCAGTGCAATATATGATTATTAACACTACCCGAAAAAGTTTGAAAGCTGATAAGAAAAAGAACAATAACACCCCCCAGGTTTACTTTCCAGGGTTTACTATTCTTGTGAAGGTGTGGAGCCACAAAAATGTGCCATGGGATTATGAAGACATGTTCACGCACAATAATAATGAAAGAAGAAAAAGCAAAGGAACACATCTGAAATCCACCAGTAAGCAAAGCGACGCGTGACACATACATGCACACCCACAGGAAGATGCCTCACTCGACGCACAAACTGTGTCGCCCCCCCAGCGTGGCTGATGCCACCCCATTAGGCTCATTATTTAGCTCACGGTGCGGCAGGAGTCCCCCCCCAGCTAATTACGCCAACGGCACTCGATGCACCGCGGGGGTCCTGCAGGCTGCATTTCTCCTGCTATTTCTCTAATCAACCTCTACTCCCCCCCCCCCCCACCCCCTCCCGAAGTACCAGCTTCTGAAACAGGTGAGCTGTGAACAGCAGGACCAGAAAAGATGCACCATTTCAGTTTTAATGACTTGTAAAAAATTAGAGGCCACTATAAAATTCAAATATGCTAATCGGCTTGGCAGAAATTCATAACCATGCCTGATCATGATTCACATAGAATAGGTAATTTCACATGAAATCCAGCATAAATCAAATACCAATATAAGCTTTTATCGATACAGGTGGTCATCCGTAATATGTAATAAACCATTTGATTACTAAGGAACAGAAAAAGAATCTTCGAACGACTGAGGTTTGAGCACCAGTAAAAATGCCAGTGGCGAAAATGCTTTCAGACAGAATTGATGGAAGAGACGGTAATGGAAAGGATCCATTATCCCATTATGTAAGAATTATTACAGACATTGTGACACCAAACTGCAAACATGATATATGTTCTGAATCTTTGGCTTACTTGTTAGGTTTTGAGTCAGATTTTTTATCTCTGTGTCAATCTCTTTGAAATGCAAGTGAAAAAAAGATATTGTTTTGAAATAGTATTGCTTTTTTATTGTTTATAGTATGTCGGATTTTCCAGTTGGCAAGTTTCAACTTATGATCGCTTTTTACATTCCTGACAGAGATCTGGAGGACAATAAATTTGGACCCACAGCACCAGTTACGGGTTCCTGGGTCACCATGATCTTGAATTGGAAATAAGGATCTGGAAAGAGGTTGGAATAAATATTTGTTTGACCCTTGATCTATGACCAAACAAAGAAGACAGCACAGAGTAATTCTCCCATATATAAAAAGTTTAGCAGGCACCAGAAATGAATGTATACCACAGAGAAAGTGTTTTTTCCCTCCCAAGTAGATAGGTGTTTACTCAGATTTCTGTGATAATGAATGTTCCCATAATGACTGTCAGCCTTCTTGCGAGTTGAGCTGATGAACATTTATGTGATACATTCTACGAAACACAGGCCTTTCCATTCATAGTAATAGAAGAAAAGCATTTTTCAAAATAAGAAAATAAAACGAGCACTGTTAATCAGAAGGCTGATGAGGACTGAGGATGGTATCTCCTTCCAGGGTGAGATCATCATTAGGAAGGTGGAGCAGAGCTTCTGCAGCTTTTGTCTCAGAATCTTCTGTGGGGTCCTGACCCCTGGTGTGCAGAAACCCCTTATTCCATGGGCAAGTCAGAAAAAGAGATGGGGGGTGCATTAAATCAAGTCAGCCGGATGTTCCTATCCTAGACTGCAAACTAATTAAAACTTTTGATAGAGTTCTCAGACCAGGTCTGTGTGCACATTCAGATCATTAGGAGTAAATGAGCACAATTTGCTAATTGCTGCAGCTAAATGGTCTAAAGTTAATGTCCCATAACAAAAAAAAGTTTCCCCCTTTTATAGATCAACAACCCATAAAAGAATGACAGTCGTCTTTACTGGTGTGCTGCCTAAACTCAACAAACTCCCGGGGTGGGCGATGGCAGGGGAGGGAAAGATGTGAGGAACTGGCAGATGAAAGAGCTTCACTGCCAGCCAATGGGGCACCCCGCCTTTACAGTTTGCCCCTCTGTTTTTGATGTCCAAAAACACCTCAGTCCAGATCATTACTGCCCCCTGCAGGGAGGCCAAACAGACAAATCCCTCTGATTTGGAGATTTTTCCCGATATGCCAGCCCAATGATTTTGCCTTCTGAAGGTAGCCCTGAATAAGGACTCTACCCACAAGGGGCAGACGCTTTGAAAACACGACCACGGGGCGCTGGCACAGGAGATGTCCACATCCAGCCAGAATACTGAGGAAGAGCTGCAGCTTGTTTTTGAATTTGTGCGTCCAATAGACGTGGGAGCGCCGAAGCATGACGAGTGAAGCAGCACGACGTCACCCTGACAGCTGATAATACTAATACATACTTTATTGATCCCCATGGGGAAATTCTCTTTACGCTTCTCCCCCCAACTTGCTCTCTGTAGGTGAGAGCAAGCTGACCATGATTGGCAGCCACCTGTTGCGGCACCCAGTGAGCTGGGGGGGTTAAGGGCTTTGGTCACGGACCCACAGACATGGCAAGGCTGGGCTCAAACCGGCGACCTTCTGATCACAGAGGCTTAGTCCATGATGTTGACGCAGAGAAGACTTACAACACGTGTAACTATTTCACACAGAAAAGCCCTATTATTTCATATTAATGCATTAACGAGTCTATGAGGTTGAGTCCCTGAGGATGCATAACTGCTAACTGGCCAATCAAGGTAGTCTCCCAAAGTAAGAGGCACAGCCAGTCCCATTAATCTAGGACGATTTAAATGTTCATGGCAGCTGAGGTGCATCTATAAAAAGCCCTGGTTGCAGCATCATTGGATCAGCAGGGACCAAACCCACGTTTTATAAATTGACATCTTACCATCTGCGCTCAACAGGAAAGAGAACCAGACATCACCACTCATATGAGGACGGGCCATGGGAGAACAGGTTTATGAATATAAAAATACTGTTTTGGAAAGAATAAAAATTAAAATTTAGAGATTATTTTGATATAAATGTAAGGGAGCAACAATTAATGAGCCATGATGGATGCCAGGGTCAGAAGGGGTAACAGTTAGCATCACTCCAGAAACAGCCGTGGTCACCTGACTCTCCTCCATTCGCACAACAAACTTCCTGCTTAGATCACATTCAGCCAAACGTACTTCCTGGGGCGACAGAGGTCAGCCACTCAGCCATGGAGAACAGCAACACATTCTTCAGGATTGGGGTCAACTAGTTCAATTCCTAAAGTATTGTACATCCCTAGTCACGAAACTGCAATGCCAGCTCATCCTATTACCGTTACGGCTGTCATTTTGCTGGGAGACCAGAGAAACCCAAGCCACGATGGAATCTGACCTTCTGACAATTCGTTTTTAATAAATTCTATTTCCTCTCATTTAACAAGATCAGCCAAGCAGTGGAGCTTCATGACTACAAACTAATCAAAGGTTGGTCTCCAGTTCAGAGAGAGAATTCAACCAGCTCTAATTACTTTTGGCTGAGTATTTAAAACTGTCTGGTAGGTATTATTAAATGTTCTGGGGGGATTAGAGCTCACAACCTCTCTGACATCTCGCCCCTTTCCACAGTGGCAGTATTAGGGGATTTCACAAAGGTACGATTCACATGACCAAGCAAAATAAAACATTTTTTGCCATCATGACATCATGACAAAAAATGACATCACTTTGGTTATTTCTTTCAAGAGTGCTAAATAAGCCATTCTTTTCATATTATCCCTTTATTAAATGGGACTAATGAACATCACCACTAAAAGGTCAATAATTAGAATAGTTGGGATCGTTAAGAATGTCAAAAGATGCTAATAATCTAGCATATCCACTGGGAGCCCCTAGACAGCTGAAAGATGTTTAAACCTGTTTTCACTCCTTCATCTCCCCTATGGTAATCCCAACCGCTTACTACCAGAGTACAGCCAGAGGGCATCCAGTGTACAGCCAGAGTACACAGTTTAGCCAGAGGGCATCCAGTGCACAGCCAGAGTATAGCCAGAGGGCATCCAGTGCACAGCCGGAGAACAAAGTATAGCCAGAGGGCATCCAGTGTACAGCCAGAGTACAGAGTATAGCAAGAGGACATCCAATGTACAGCCAGAGCATAGAGTATAGCAAGAGGGCATCCAGCGTACAACCAGAGTACGGAGTATAGCAAGAGGGCATCCAGTGTACAGCCAGAACACACAGTACAGCCAGAGGGCATCCAGTGCATAGCCAGAGAACAGGGTATAACCAGAGGGCATCCAGCGTATAGGCAGAGCATAGAGTATAGCAAGAGGGCATCCAGTGTACAGCCAGAGTACAGAGTATAGCAAGAGAGCATCCAGTGTACAGCCAGAGCATAGAGTATAGCAAGAGGGCATCCAGTGTACAGCCAGAGTAGAGCAAGAGGGTATCCTGTATACAGCCAGAGTAGCCAGAGGGTATCAAGAGTATAGCCGAAGTACAGTGTGGTACACTGAAGTACAGCCAGACTACACCCAGAACACAGACAGGGCACATCACATTGTCAACGTTACAGCTTTTGAAATTGTTCTTCATGTCTGCCACACTTTTGAACATGGGGTTCCACCATCATTTGCAAGTTTCAAGGGAATATGAAGGCATGTAGTCATTTAACATTATCTTGTGGCCCACAAAATGCACAGGCAGAGAGTCACCCTGGTTATAGATCTGTAGATTTAAACCTTTTTTGTCAGCGTGTCTGTGTCTACTGGACAGGTCTGACACAGGATGGTAGCCGGCTAACTCTATCTTTAAGGGTACTGGAGAGCTGCGGAGTGCAGGCAAGCTCCAGACGAGGCTCCTGGGATCACGTCCAGGCCTGCTGCGACCATGTACTATATAAGCAATATGGACAGCAGACACAGGCAGTGTGCTGAATTTTTAAAGAGGATTACGGAAGAAGAAACACACATTTTCCAGGACCCAGTGGCCATTCAGCACATCATTCTATACACCATAGTGTATTTCCAGCACACACAGTCTGACATGTTTAAAAACCATTCTCTTAGGGGATTTTAGAGAAGTACACACTGATTATTTCCACCCCATCGAATGATGACACTCATCTACATTCGTTTGCACTGACATCCATTATATTGTAATAATAATCTCATAAGTGCACCGTCAGGCACGGAGAGTGAGACACAGTAACTCAAGCCTTCTGCAGAGAGCCAGCAATATGCCACGTGCTCAGACTCACAGGAACAGATCTGACTGCGACAGAAAGCCAAATGTGCCAGATTAAATAATTTAACCAGACGAAAGAAGAGCATGTGGCAAAGTAAACCACAGTGACTTTCAGTTGTTTTCTGGGGATTTGTGCTTTTTTTAAGCTCCTTCAAGAAATGGCTGTTGAGTCAAATTATTTATCCCAATATATCTGCCAGGTATTTATCTACTATTTATACCCATTTAAAACAATCTGGATCCCTGCACCTCATTCAGGGGAATGGCTCAGGGTGCGAGAAGAGATGAGCAGGTAATAAATGCCAAGGCGTTCCCTGCAGTAAACTCATTCTTTATGTCACCACAGAACACATTTGCACACCATGGCGCCATTTTGATGATACGCTGTAACTGACTAATATTCTACCATTTCTCTATGAATCGACTTACAAACCATACTGTGATCCCAGCTCCTCTCACATCACTGAATTACATTTGGTATCTCTCCACTGCCAAACGCAGAACGCCCGACTTCAAGATGCAGTCCACGGAGTTCTGTCATCTGTCAACTGCTGGCCCAAAATGATGCAGAGGTACCCAATTATAGATGCAGATGAGCTACCAGTTGACGCCCCTAACTGTGAATTGTGGGTGAGATGTAGAAGCAGAAGTTATGTCAGTTGAGTCCTCCATTCTGTGGAAAAGCTGTGAAAGATTTTGTGTTCGCACACAAGTGACTGCTAATGGAGCAGAACGACAGAGCAGAACGACGACAAGAACCGGCAAACGCACATCAAGATACACCAGCTTAGTCGTTAAAAACTCCCACCTCACTGCTGTGTGGTGCTTCAATCACTGCCATCTGCCCAGGCCAGAGGTATGAGGAACCTGCAGTCTACCCCAGGAAGCAGAGGGCCACACTCAGGACTCCCACACTCACGTCTCCCACACCAAGGACTCCCACACCCAGGACTCCCACACCCAGGACTCCCACACCCAGGACTCCCACACCCAGGACTCCCACACCCAGGACTCCCACACCCAGGTCTCCCACACCCAGGTCTCCCACACTCAGGACTCCCACACTCAGGACTCCCACACCCAGGACTCCCACACTCAGGACTCCCACACCCAGGTCTCCCACACCCAGGACTCCCACACTCAGGTCTCCCACACTCAGGTCTCCCACACTCAGGTCTCCCACACCAAAGACTCCCACACCAAAGACTCCCACACTCAGGTCTCCCACACCCAGGACTCCCACACCAAGGACTCCCACACTCAGGACTCCCACACTCAGGACTCCCACACCCAGGTCTCCCACACCCAGGTCTCCCACACTCAGGACTCCCATACTCAGGACTCCCACACTCAGGACTCCCACACCCAGGTCTCCCACACCCAGGACTCCCACACTCAGGACTCCCACACTCAGGTCTCCCACACTCAGGACTCCCACACTCAGGCCTCCCACACTCAGGCCTCCCACGCCCAGGACTCCCACGCTCAGGACTCCCACGCTCAGGACTCCCACACCCAGGTCTCCCACACCCAGGACTCCCACACTCAGGACTCCCACACCCAGGACTCCCACACCCAGGTCTCCCACACCCAGGAGTCCCACACTCAGGACTCCCACACTCAGGCCTCCCACACTCAGGACTCCCACACCCAGGTCTCCCACACCCAGGTCTCCCACACTCAGGACTCCCACACTCAGGACTCCCACACTCAGGTCTCCCACACTCAGGACTCCCACACTCAGGACTCCCACACTCAGGACTCCCACACTTAGGGCAATTCAGTTGCAATAACTCACAACGGCGCAATAACAGTGGTGCCTGCAGAAAATGTTGATTGGGGTGGCCCATCAGAGGCCAGTTATATTTCTGGGGGTGGCATGGAACAAAATCGAAATGATCGAACAACATAGTTGATAAGCTCATAAATGCAGTGCTTGCAAGACAAGTGCAACATCTAATCTAAAGCTTCGCTGGGACGCATGGCAACGTATCTCTTCTCTGGTTTCACTTAGACAATAAAATAATCCGTAGTTTGATTTCATTATTTTGATCCACCCCTGTGCAGGAAGAAACTGGAGTATTGTAGAAAGCGTCGTGAGCACAGGAAGAACGTGCAAACACCACAGACAAAGAAAGGAGGGAAAGGACTCAAACCCCAAAGCCCTGATGCCAGAGGGCTACGACCCACTACGCCACTGTGCACAACCACAGTGATGCTTACATGCAGAAACACCAACACACCGTATGATGTCATATATAACATCATACCTGGGGGGACCTGAACCTGCTCAGCAAAGGTTCTAAAGGCATCAACAGCAGGCCACTAAGGCTTCTGGGATCACTACATACCCAGTGTATAGTCTTCCTCCTCTTATACACTCTTTTAGTTATATATCCAGTGTTGGGCATTTCAGGTCCAGAAGCTACAAATCCAGACCAGGATTTTGTCTCTAACCAACCAGTTACAGTATAACTGGTATATTTTAGAGTATAAAGAGCCACAGTACTCAACTGGTTGGTAGAAACAAAATCTTGGTCTGGATTTGTAGCTTCTGGACCTGAAATTCCTAATACTGGATATATCTGACTGGTTATGCTAAGTATGAATTATTGCCATTATTGTAAAATGCAACTGATTGGTTTTACTGATACTATTCCAGTGGCTTTGTGCAGTAACCCCTGTGCCTGTTTTTCATGGATGTCAGAAAGCGTTACCTTTCCTTGCCGTTCCTTCCCCCTCTGTTTCAGTTGGCAGGTGCTGGAAGCATTTATAAATTATTCTGACATGCCTCTAAAAGTAACAGATTAGCATAAATATTTACCGGCCTTAAGAATCAGCCAGCGCTTTGCCGCCTCTGCATGGCGGGCAACCCCTTACATTACCATGTGATATGGTGCTTGTAGGTGCAGGGCACTAAGCCACGTCAGAGCCAGGCCTGTATATTACTCATATTCCATAAGTGTTTGTCCAGTGCAGGCATGCAGGGAGAATGGAGGCTCAGGCAGCACAGGAAACGAAGCAGAACAAAGTGAGGGACACCCTGGATGGGCTGCCAGTCTAATATCTTGCAGAACCATTGTGCTAAAGGACGTTAAACCCGATTAAGAGCAACGGACCTCATTAAAATAGCCCAAGTGCTCCAAAACGTTTTATAAGTTCAACCAGCTTCCAGAAATAAACCACATTTATTTTCAGCAGAGTGCCAAACACAATTGATTCTTCTCATCTTTTTTCGTCATCGTCTTCACTCTGTTTGGACTTGTCAAGAACTTCTTCTGCTCCAGAACTGCCCAACTGCACATTTCATATTCCCTGATATGAAAGTCCAAGGAGCCGAAGATAGTCACAAGTATTTATGGCTCTATCTGTTGAGCTGAAGTTAAGACCATCTTAAGATACTTTCAACAGATGTACTGTGACTAGTCCCTTAAGAATATGTTCTAATTTTAACTGCCTTATGTTATTATTACCCCGAAGTCACATTTTTAATTGCTATAGTCTTAGCAAGCCGAGAGAATCACAGGACTGCAGTGGGACAAAAATATCATTAATGATATCCACAAATGTGCTAATGTGAAGACTAAACGAGCGGAGGCTGGAGGGTGATCAATAGTAAGGGGCACGTACCAGGATCTGACTTGGAGAAAGTGTCCATGTCCAGCAGGTTCCTACAGAAATGACAAAAAGGAAGAAACCATGTGACTACAAAATGGCTGCCACAAGATAGATTCCAGTCATATTGGCCATGTCGAGCAAAAGCACTGAAGTGCATACCCATTCAACCACACTAAATACAAGGATAATTAAAAGTAAACAAATACATAGACGCTAGAAGTGTACTAGTGCTATGAAAATGAGCTAAGACTTTAAGTCACATAAAGTGCCGGCTGCTTACAAGTTTTTGGCATCTTGCTGGCATCAGTTTATAGCAACAAGATTATCCAGCATTTCTGGTAACACTTTGATAGTGTTAAATTTCATATACTATATAAATGCAGTCCTGCTGCTGCATCCATCCTTCAACAATAACTACTAATGTAGTTGGGATCTCTGTGAGCTGGGCTGAAGACACAGGCCACACCCACACATTGTAGGAAACCCACACTGGGTCATGTGGAAAGACCAGTATACTTGAACAACACGCAGATTATTTTTCTAGTTGCAATACCTCGGGTTGCAAGTCCAAACCTATGATTGACACTCTACCTTGGGAACCAGGGCCAGATTCCAACCCACGGCCTTGATGCGGTAACAACATTGCCCTGCCCACTGTGCTACCATGTGACCTTAACCTTGAGATGAAGGCTCAAATTTGCACTAAACATCTTAGGCTTTGCACATTGTGGATCAGCATGCCTAGTTGCTAAATGTTATTGGATCTCAACATGAAACTGATTTACGATGAATTAGCATTATCTCCCTGTAATTGTGGAAAGGTAGTAATCGGCAAGCAGTATAGGCCAGTCATATTTGGCAAAGACAGATGGATGATAGGCTGGTCGTAAGTTTGCGCTGTCATTAAACAGGTAGGTCTGTGAGGAGTGTCTGTATATCTGATTGAAACAACAATGCTATTCTGTTTTTTTTATTATTTTAATAAAGGACACAGGTCTACTACTCTTGCAGAAAGACAACGGTAGATGAAGATTTGTCCTTGAGCTGTGAATGTGTGCAGTAAAATTACACAAACATCTCCCATCCACTTCAGATATCTTCAGCATTCCTTTTCTTGTCATGTTTCCTGCTAACCAGAACTTTCTGTACAGTTAATTTCTGTACCTTCAAACTGTGATGCAAAGTATCAACCCCCACAAAACGGTTAGGTACACAACTATCCAACAGAGAAACCGCCCAACACTGACGTCTTGGCTGGTTAGCCACCTCCCTCCTATAGCATCTTTTCTCTCCCATTTTAATTCTCTCCGTACCCAGCAAGGAATGTCTCCCAAGCCTCTTTGCAAGGAATCTTAGGTCAGTGTCACCACATATTATTCTCCACATCTTCTTTTCAAAAGATCCGTTTTCAGAAGGCTGGGGTTCATTTCTGACGACCTTAAGTGGACCTTTACAAAGGGGGGACGGTGCTCAGGAATCCAGTGGATCTTCGCAGGAACCCAGCATAAGCCTTGAAAAGTCGGCCTCTGTTCCAGAATGTGTGATCATAGCTGTCCAGCTATCGTGGTGGTGGAAACAGGAGACAAAGGGAGAAAGACGCCAATGCTGATGGCCGTGTCTGATTCGCGTGAATGTCTGCAGCCAACGAGAATATAAGAATGAACCCATAGCTACTTCCTCTGCACTGTTCTGCTGCCTTGGACAGAAATCGACAACGATAATTTTGGGAATGAGATGACCTGTGTGCATCCTAATAAGAAAATAATTCAAATAGGCCTACTCTAACATGTCCCCTGGGGGGATACACCTCAGACAGGAAGCCAGTCCATCAGAGGGCATAAACATGTACAAACCAGATTCATTTACACGTGTGGGGAACAAGAGGGTACTTTAGGTTAGAAACCCCACAGCCTTAAAATGTACTTTGTTGCTGAATATTAACTGTATATTTAAGTCCATTTAAATGCATTTTAAAACTGATTTTCTTCGCCTATTTTTGGTTTGCGGTTCTTTCAGCGAAAAGCAAACCTTTAATACGAGAAGCTTGAAGAGCAGCCAGCTTGTGTCCTCCAGCTCAGCAAAAAACAGGCAAGAGAGGCTGAGAATGAATTAATATTAGCGTGACCGTGTGCTAACAGAAGACATAATGTTTACTGATACGGATCACAAAACAGAATAGAAATCATATTGTAATCATCTCGGAGCAGATACGAACAAGACATAATTCAGTCAGCAGCTACAGCTCAGGGTGTCAGTTTGCCGGTATGATGCTACCACGCTAATCTGCCACGGCTCAGTGGTTTCCCCTCGTTAAGTACTCTTCAGTAACTATAAATTGGACAGGGTGCTATGATAAAATTAATTAATTAATTAATTTTAATATACGACGAGGCCACGTGGGATCTCCCGGCCGCTACAGCCGCTCCCCAAAACTATAACAATAAACCCCACCGTATACGGAAAAGGCGGTGCATGACGACCTTTTACACCCCAAATATGATCATAAACCATGTCCAGAGCACAGATATAGAAAAGGAAAAGATAAACATAACACAACGATCTCAGCCTTGAGGATTAATAGTATAAGCGTAAGTTCTGCTTTAGTTCTCCTGTGATGTGATCACACAAAAAGCGACTACGTCTCATATTAACGCCACGGCCGCAGTGTCTGGATGGCATGGCGGTGTTTTAGAAAGGTTACAAAAGACAATGAACTTTACAGGTTAGCGACTTTTTTTAAGTGTTCAATAATGGCCGTTCATACGTCAGGAGGTGAAGTGAAAATTATCTTCATACTGTGTCCAGCTCGTCCGCAATAATCAATGAATTACAACAAGGAGCACAGAAGCCTTTCAGAAGTAGGAACGGCATATGATTAGACGAAACAGGTTTCAGATTTAAATTTAGGTTTTTAAAAAGTGGGTGGGAGGTAAATCCCCATCAGCCGTGATATTTCTTCAAATGCCCCTTCGAAATGCGTCTTAAATTAAAAAAACTTAGGACTTTAAATTACTTTAATTCAACTAATGCAGAGAACAAACAGCGGAAACTATAACCGCATAATGAATATGAATAACAAACACCTTTATAGTCAAGATAAATGAACTGAATATTTAATACGGGAAATCAAAAGTATGTATGCATCCATCACCCTGAAGCCTGTCTTAGGTCACATGGCTGATAAGGTGAACACTCTGGTCAGCGTGGTAGTCTCCTGCAGAGCGCGCGCTCCCATAAACAGGTTTGTAATTATATATTTTGTGGGGACTCTCCATTCATTTCTATTCGGAATAATGTAATCCCAACATGACCTTAACCCCTACCCAGCCCTAACCCTAACCATAAGTAACCAAATGAAATACAAGACTTTTGGCATTTTTAGTTTTTTGATTGCATTCACCTGAAAAATGGTCCCCACAATGTCAAAATAACTGGTTTTTTTTTGGTCACACACAGGTAGCAAAACTATTTCTCACAAAATCCAGACCAAGAAATTGCACCTTAAGCAATTTTTTAAACTCTTTAACAATACACAAGATGATAGGCCTATTAAAACCCAATATTATAACGTTAGATGTCAGACATATAGACAAAAACACACTTCAGAGAAAATTACAGATATTATTTATAATCTAATTTAGCCTACATAACAAAGCTCCCAGCGATTAAGGCAAGGTAAGGGGTTCAGATCTGGACATTTCTTTGCGCGCGCGCGCGTGCGCGCGTGTGTGTGTGTGTGTATATGTATGTATATATATATAAAAAGCATCCCGAGGTTGGAGTCCATTATTATTAAACAAAAATTGATAGTTCAAGACTGATATAGGAAAAACGAGAACAAATAGTCTGCTCTTCGGAAACAGCGATGCAACTGCACATCTGTAATTCACTTTGATCATTAATATGAAAAGGAATGCGATCTATAAATAAACTTTCACCCCTCAGAAATCCCAAACAAAGTGCTTCACCGACTTTCGTGTTCTGCTATTCCCTGACTGTGTTTCAAACTGTTCCACAGTTCCTATCCATGTTCACTCCCGGCAGCATAACGTTAAATGTGCGCTTCATCACGGCTTTCATAGCACGCCGTGCACATACCCTTATACCCATGCATGTGGGTCTCGGTTTTTCGAACCCTTTCTAAGCATTTGAGCGCTACTTAAGGTAAAACTAACCCAATTCAAATCAAAGTCAACACTGTAGAAACAATCTGGTCCATATCATTAATACACTAAACAAGTGCTTCCTTCTTGGTCTCATTCGCCCTATATGGTATTTTTAAAACAAATCAAATACTTATAAGGCCCGCGCCGTTCTACATGAACGAAGCACACCTGAAGATCTTCAAATATTAAATAAGTGCTCCACTGCCATACGATCTTACTTACCTGCACGAAACTGTAACTTCAATCTTAGTTGCGGGTACGCTGGACCGGAGCGGATCAAAGTCTCCAATAGACGCCATAATAAGGCTTTTCCGAATGAATTTTAAGTTCTGATAACTGTTGTATTTTATTACAAATAATATATTCGTGTTCAGAAATAAAATGAAGTCTATTCGGAGCTATGGTCAGATAGGTACATCTGAGCGAGGCGGGCAGCTCCTCGTATTTCAGATTTCGTTCCTGATCCTCGAGCGCTTCGCTCCGGCAAACTGACAGACGAGTCGAACCGCGTTGCCAAGAGCTACCGCCAGGTGGAGCCAGAGTCTCGACTGTCACCGCCGCGCGGACAGAACAGCCCGAAATCGAACCGCATCTTAAAAGCGCATCCTGAAGACGTTCAAATGTAATTAAGACAGAAAAGAACCGCACAGAAGGGTATGAAGGTGCGCTGATCTGAAAATGAAGGACGGAATACACGTTTTTTCATATAATTATATTCGTCTTTTATTTCAACTTTCAATCTACTATCTACCTTTCTCCATCAACTACTTTTTCCCTGATAAAAGTTAAACAAAATGCCAACTGAGAACCCATAAAAATTAATTTCAACATACAAACAGAAATAAAGTAAACGTGACATTCCTATTGTACAGAACATAAATGTAAGGATACAGAATGTGATATGGTTTTAAGTAAGAAACACAGTACGTGCAATTGTCCCCAGATTTGTTACATTATAATGCTTATTTTAAATAGAATTGATAGATTTTAAGGGATATTTAGTGTGTGATGTTTCATACAGTTTACAGAGTATAATTCTGTATAATATCTTACTGTCTAATAATGTCTAGGGTTAATGGCAACTTCACAATCCTCAAAGATGTCCGGACTACTAGATACTTGATTTCATTCCAGCTTGTTTAAACGCGGAAGGACAGTTAAGACTTAACAGAACGGGGTTGGGTTGACAGATGAGGGGGGTAGAATCGAGACTGAGCCAATCCAACTGCAGAATAATACAGAGACAACCCATCAGGGAAGCAACCAGACCAGGGCAAGCTGGGAACCACAAAGGCATGTGTTTAAAAAAAAAAAAAAAAACACACAGATTTATGATGAAAAAAACCTGCCAGTCAAGAGACAGACCAGAGGCAGATGTCAGCTGCATAACTCTGAGTTCTCACATCCCAGCTGGCAGTTGATACCCAAGGCCAGTAATATCGGATTTAAATTCTCATACACCTACAAGTGGATTTATAGTGACAACCGTTATGTACAGAAGCAACTGCTATATTGGCTATTGGTAATGTGAATTTTTTTTTTTTTTTTTTGGGGGGGGTTGATTTATGTTTTTTTCCCTTGGGGGGGAGCCTAAGAGTGCAAGTAAAAGGTATGAACACTTTTGCGATTGAGAAAACTGAAAACCAGCCCTCGCCACACAAGGTTGGGGTAGGAGGGCAGCCAGGTCGTCACTGACCTTTCCAGGCAGGCGATGCCCAGAGAGCCAGGCTGTCTGTGGCACCTCCCCCCACAGCCCAGGCCACCAGAATGAGGAGCTTTCTGAAGATAATGAGAACAAAATCCAGATACAGCACCAACCCCCCACCCCCGCCGCTGCCCTCTGGCCCCAGCGCAGACTTGTGCAAACATTTAATCAGAGAAAAGACCACTTCAGCCATGTCCCAAAATGGACTCTGTAGCAATTCAGCTCACAGGCAGCTGGAAAAAAATTTTAAATACTTTTTGTTGCCTTAAACTAATTAAAACAATTAAAAAAAATCTGATTACAATATGTATAAATGTTCTAATTACATTGTAATTTATCAGCATGTTTTTTGTATTTATTTCATTTTGTCACTTTTGGAGAATCACCTTAAGGAATCTCCAATCTCCAGTCGTATTTGCACCCACATTTATATCAAAATCACAAATCATTAAATCAGTGTGCGTGTATGTTTACTCCTAACTGAGGAAATTAAAATGATGTGTGACAGTCACCTTTCAGTGAGTACTTAATACTGCGTAAGCTGTCGTCGGAAACTTTTCCTTTCTGAATGGCCTAATTAATCTTTTTTTTTTTTTCAGCTAAAGGGAAAATCTGAGCTACAGAAACAGCATAAAAAAGTAATATTGCTAAATTTAAGTACTAAATTTAAGCCTTTTAACCAACCCACCCTCCCCGATTGTTTTAATTCCCCAGGAAGACGGCAAAAATCAGAAAAAAAGGAAAAAGTGCAGTGTTTAAATTTTGCTCTCGGAAGCTGAAGCAGGTTTGGGCCACTTCAAGCGGGACCCAGAACCTCAACTTCACTGGCCTCCAGAGCAGTCTGATGCTGCATGGCGCTTCCTCTCACAGGCAAGCATTAAAAAAAGGGAAAAAGGGGGGGGGAAGAAAAAAAACTAACATCAGAACAGTATAAATTAAAAAAAAAAAAATGATCTATCTCAGGACCGACAACCATGCTGGGTGCTTAAAAAATTTTTAAAAAATTAAAAGGGAGGGGCAGTGCTTCTCCTGGACGCTTGGCACTTGTCACCGAGTCCAGCAGCGAAAGGGAAGCGGGCTGAGGTTCCCAGCGATGACGAGGCCACCGCCCCGCGGCCCTCCGTGACGCTGGGAGAGCAGGCGCCCGGCGCTGCCCGGGAGAGTTCTGCCGGCGGGAAGCGGTCAGACGATGGTGTTGGTGCCGCGTAGACCCACGCCGCGGGCAAACTGCTCCAGGAAGCCGGAGATGGCGCCAGAGGGGCTGGGGGCAGTTGACTTGAGCCCCACCGTGGAGCTGTACGCTGCCAGGAACATCTCCCGGACGGCTTCCAGGCGAGCCTGCCGTTCGGGCGGAGAGGGGCACCTGGGAAGGGGGGGGGGGGGGGGGGGCAGGATCACCATCAGCAGACAACAGAAACGGTGTCTCTCCGTATGTCAGTCTGTGCGAACGGTAGGCAGGTTCACAGTCAGGAGACTAACCCACGTCAGGTCTCCATGTCGGCTGAACCGACTTCCTGTTTCAGTCACATTATCATTGCCCATGAAAGTCGACATGCAGACGCCTGACAGCCTCTTGACAGCACATGTCAGCAGATTCACTGGTGACGTCCCGAACCTCGGCCCCCGCAGGGCTGCGCTGACCGCATGCTAACACCGCCGGCACGCAAATCTCCATGCAGCTGGCACCGTCCACCAAGACATGGCTCCGCCCGCAAAGGTGCAGCGTGACGCACTAACACTGCTGCTGCCAGCTGCGACTCTCCAAAGCGCAGAGCAAATATCGCTAATTGCCTTGTGACCTCAGTGCTGCCTCTGACGGGCCCAAGTCCACCTTAAGAACACAGTTACAGACAGTCCTACCAATGTGGTATCAGCCCTTCAAGATAAAATTAAAAATGGATGATAAAAAGGCTTTGAAGGCCCTGATGTCCAATTAGAAGCTAACCCTCCACATGGCTGTTATATCAGTCAGAATCTGAGCCGGGCCTTAGGGGAACCAGTCTGCAAGTCTCCATGCTGGATCGAGAAGCCAGGAGGATGAATCTTACACCTTCAGGGGTTGCAAAGGGGCAGCAGAAAATGGGCTATTTATGAAGTGGGAAGTAGGGACAGGAAGTCTGCTAGTGTTAAAAGAAAAGAAAGATAACAGACGATTGTACAATTAAAATGACATTTAACAAGACAGAACTGCTGTTTCACAATCAGTCGGCCATTGCAGAAAGAAATTAAACTGGAAAAACAATCACGCAAAATGAATATGAGGAAATATAGCCCCCCACCCTCACCTCCCCCCCTCCCCCACCTCAGAGGTGAATTTTGACATGCAAGAGACTGTGCAGCAAGCGCAAGGACTGCAAAGACCATCAGGAGCCCTGAACGAGAGCAGCAGCTCCTCCCACTGGTGCTCACAGGATGCACTACAGGTCACCCGTCACCAGACACGTCACTCTCAGCGATACGAGATTCATTCCTGACGCCAACTCAGTGGCACTTGGGACACAAAGTGCGAGAGGCACGGCGCTCGCTGGGTTAACGTTCCTCTGTGAACTATATGTGCCTATGGTCTCTGCTGCAGCCCCTCCCAGCCCCTCCCAGCCCCGCCCACCGGGACTCACATCCGGCCATTGGGTCCCTCATCCTGAAAGCTGAAGGGGAGGGGAGACTCTGTGGGGTGGGGGGCGTTCTGGTCGTGGATACTTCCGCAGCCAGACACAATTTGCCAGCTCCCGTAATCGGTGGAGAGCGAGGAACCGGAGCGGGCATACTCCCCCACTGATCTGCAGGGCGAGAGAGAGAGGGAGGGAGAATGGCGGGGGGCGGGGAGCACAGACACGCAGGGGGTCAGGGGGAGGGGGCAGGGGTAGGGAAGGCCACGGGGTCAAAGCCAGGGCTAAGGAGGGGCTACTGTGTCCGGCGTGTTGATATGTGTGGTTGTGTCTTTGCATGTGTGTCTGGGGGAGACGGTCAATGATCTCGAGGAAGAAGTAACGGGTAGGAATCACTGACCAGTTCACTGACTGTCCACAGCAGATCCATAATATTACACACAGGGAGGAAGATGGAAAGGTTGTGTTTGTTCTCTTGAATTTTGTTAGTTTAGCACAGTTTCAATACAACCATTTATGAAGTTTTGTTTTTGACCTATAAACCTATTTTGTCAATGAGTGTTAGTCTTAGGATTATTCTGAGCCTACTGTACATGTACTCTTTCGCATGATTTCTTTTTAAGTCAAATTAGGGATCTCCTACACTCCAAAACAAGTGGGCATGTGCCCTCCTCCCGCCCCACAGGAAAAGCATCCCTACAGGCCACCTCGGGAATTGCAATCCAAGGATGAGCACGGCTCGTCACCCAGAAGAGAAGAGCACGAAGGAAGGGGAGCTCTGTTATGCGAAGCGGAGATCCCATCATTCTACCAGCCCCACTGAGCTCGTCTGTCTCAAAGCTGTCAGTGCCTCCACACTAGTGTGTTCAGGTGCTCCACCACACCCACAGGAAGACCGAGCACCAGCCTCTGCCACACCGTCCACACCTGCTGCGCACCGCTGATGGTCCAAACAGTCCTTGTCAGAACTCGCCAGCAGAGCCCCGAGACCTTGGCGCCAAAAGCACTCAGCAGGCCCGTTCCACATCCCCCGCCTCCCGTTCGTCCTTCCGAAACTCTGAGTACAGCCACAATGAGGCCACCGGGCCGCCCAGCTAGAGCCAGGCAAGCTGCCACACACGCCACAACTCAACGCCACAACTCAACACCACAACAGGAAGGTCGACTGCAGGCCAACGTCTTACCTGCGGCCCGGCACGGCCAGGGGGCTGCTCCCGGCCCGTGGAAAGGCCTGCTCGGACTGGTTGGAAGACGAGGAGCTGGAGGACTTTCCGTCTGTGACGGGATGCAGCAGCCTCTCATCCAGGGCGATGGGCTTGTTCCACAAGACCGTCTGTGGAGAAGACGTCCTCCCCTTTCTCCTGCGAGCACAAAGGTGCCGGCATGTAGGAGTGTGATTACTCAACTACTACGTGCGCCTTAGCGGATTAGGACACAATGGCCACGACTTGAAGGTTGCGGGTTCAAATCTCATGGATGACAGAGTGATTTCAACACTGAGCCCCTGGGCAAGGCCATTGATCTTTAAAAGATGGTTAATCTTTTCTCAAGGTCCAACAGCAAAGACCCTTTGCTACCTGTGAGTCCTTACAGCTTCAGCATAATACATAAAACCAAACGAACAAAGTCAGGGGTCATAAACTCTTATTTCCTTTTTGCCTGCCGACACGGAATCTCACCAGGGCATCGGTGCCTGGGGCCCACTGGAGAAAGGGTCGGACACCTCGGCGGTAGAGCTGGGGGCGGCAGTGGCGACAGAGTCCTCCGTGATGAGGGAGAAGTCACTGCTGAGGCTAGTGAGGCTGCCCCGGTCCCTGGACTCTGAAAACAGAGAGACAAAGCGATGGGGCTCTATGAGCTTGATGAGGAGGAACTTGGCATCAATAAAAATATGGGAACTACCGAGTCTGAACTGTCGAGAGAAACACAGGACATAAGGCAGGGGTACACTCTGGATGGGATGATCTTCTTAAATAATGTGTGGCTCTGCAGTGAGGTCTTTACAAAAACTGTTCTAGAGGTGTAGGAAAAGTGCTGCAATCAGTGTTGGGGTAACTTGTATATAATCAAAGTAATCGATTACAGACAGAGGTGGAAAGTTCAGGTGCAGAAAGTACAAATCCAGACCAAGGTTTTATTTCAACCAACCAGCTGATTGCTTTGTGATTCCTTAACCTCAACTGGTTTGAAACAAAACCTTGGTCTGGATTTTGTACTTTCTGCACCTGAACTTTACACCTTATGTCTGTAATTGATTACTTTTGTGAGTAACTTCCCCAACACTGGCTCTAACCTCAGGCTTTACTCTCAGCAGTATATGTGCGTGTCTCAAAGAAGGGCAAGACCGGACATGAGGAATGTACCTGTGCTTCTACAATGGCAAGTATTATTATTATTTCTGTTTACAGACAGCCAATAAAACTTTATGCTGCCCCAGGGACATCACGTCCCCGGCTGCCGGTAGGATCGAGCGAGACTGAGGACCACACTGAAATACGTACCTACTGCAGCAAGAGGGCCAGGCAACCTTTCCACTGGGAAAACCATTAAAAACATACTGCAGGCTGAAGACAGCAAAGGGTTAACTTACTCATCTGACAGAGGTCATCCACTGTGAACTCCATGTCTTTAAACTGGGAGTTCTTCCTCCTGGGTAGGGAAGGAGGGGAGGGGAAATGTTGTGTGTTAACGTCAAGCTATGAACTGAACTGCAAAGTTTCAGGGACTTTTTATACACAGGCTGCAGTGAGATCGTCTAGACGTTTTTGTGGTTTGTTGCAGGCACGGTCTAAATTTAATATCTAAGGCGAGCAACCAGTTACTACCCGTTTATCATACCCGGACCCTCAGAAAAAACTCACTTCTGCTTCTTCACAGCTGAATACTTCTCTGAGACGATGTGCTTCAAAAAATTGAAGCAAAAAAAGAATATCTGCCGGAACAAAAAGAGGCAAAACAAATCAATTAACAAAAGACCATCTATGTGAAATACTGCCCCCTAGTTTTCCACGATTAAAGTGGAAGTTGTGTCTGCTGAAATTCACAGTGGTGCAAGAATTGCATCGGCTGCAGGCGCTGGTATCTTTCACAAAACCAGCGATTATTTCATCATTTAAAGGAGCAAGATCAGGCACACAGACATGCATAAACACACATGGTGGCCATTTACCTCCTCTCCTTTACTGAGTCGATCTGGCAACATGTGTCTGCAGGACCAGAAACAGGGTTCAAATGTCAATCACAAATGCATCAATAAAAAGAGGAACAGAAAAACAGCATGCAGAGATTTTTTTATTTTTTTTATTTTTTTTTTGCAATGTAGTTGCTAATTCAGCAAGGCTACATTTTTCTAATAATGAAAATGACTCCTGAAAAGGCAAGAAATTTCAATCAATATTAAACAAGGCCAAAAACAAAACACAGCTGTCTAAACAATACAAGCCTTGGTCATCGCAAATGAAACTTCTCTCAGAATGCAGGCCTACCCCAAGACGATTGAAAACAGCAGAAACTTGATTATATACAATCTCTAGGGACACTCATTTCAGGCTTTCACAATAACTCATGTATAATAGATTGATTAGCCAGTGACTACATAAAGCCATGCAACAAATAAACAAACATGGGCTTGCTGTGAAAACCGCAATGATGGCCTGTTCTTTTCTGCATGGCATGCAACTTATTACATTAAATTTATTTAAGTTTATTTATCAGATGCTTCATCCAAAGTGACGCATAACTGAGAAAGCACGGTCAGCCAGTCTCTGGAGCCAGAGGGCTAAGGACCTTGCTCAAGAGCCTGAGAGTGACAACACTTTGGCCGCCAGGGAATCTGATCTAGCGCCCTTCCAATCACAAGCACTGAGTCCTAATCCGTAGAGTATCATACAACAACTATAAAAAATAAAAAATAAAAAGTTAAAATAAATTTAAACTAAAACTGCCTTTAACATTTAGGATCAGACAGTATAAACAGAAAGATAAGAAGCAAGAGGCGAACTTCTGCTATTAATAATGAAAACTTCTGCAACTTGGATGCATGTTCAGCAGCAGCTGTACGCGTCTACTTTAGCCGAAAAGACGCCTTATAAGGGGTCTCCACATGGTAGGACGACAACAGGTTTCTAAACTGAACAAGTTTGAATTCTGGTTAAAGTTTCACTTCTATTGTTCTGGGTTAGGGTTCCTGCCAAAGGTCACCAGCCTTCCTGAAGAGGATGTGAGAACATCTACAGAGCCACACTTGCCTCTATGGATGTTTTACTCAGAACTGCTTATCATTAATGCAGAACCACAACACAAAAGGTCATTAAACTGCATCAGATACGCGCACGACTAAAACTGGGCCAAACATCAACCGAGTGCTTTCGTTTCCAGACCAGCACCAGAGATGGAGCGGAATAAAGCGAGTAACCTGTGCAGACGATTAAAAGGAATCAGTGAGAAATTAATCTCATTCCAATTTATCCCCAGGAATGGGCACCGTGTGTGTATGGGGGGGG